GAAACAAACAGAAGTTTTGACCCCCAAATTATTTTGTGGTAATGACACCTTCGGCGTAGACAAAAAGCCGTGGCAAATGTATACAAAATGTACTCCTCCTTAAACGCTAAAATGTTCAAGTGAACCATACACCATACACACTTTCTAGTCACGGCTTGCCTCATCGTATTATTTACATTTACAAATCAAATTGTTGGATTGCTAGTTTTGAAATCATCATAAAAAAAATATATGCTTGTGAATATTGTTATCGTGTCTATGTACATTGGTCCAACCGTTTGTGTTGAAATATCTGTTGCAATGTTGTGACCTCTATCATAACCATGACACCGATGCGATTTGTTACCCTGTCTATTGTGTTTTGTATTGTTTGTTAGTTAGCATTAAAACTATCCTCAGGCAAAACTCTGTCGTTGTTTTAAATATGTGTACAGTTCTCTTTGTTTTATGTTTAGTTTGACAGTAAACTTCACCTGGGAGTAGCATTAAACAGCTTGAGGCTTCTTTTTGGCATTTGTGTTCCCTATCTGCGAAAAAATTGCTTGTTATGAAATGAGATGAGTTCTCTTCCTGTATGCTGTTAAAACCCGTTCGGGAAAAAAAAAAGGATTGCTTTCAACAATGAACGCCAATATCGTGACGGTTCACTGTTATCATAAACACACTAATCCTTGGTCAACATCATGAACATGAATTGGCATAAGCTTACTTCCTATCTTGGATGTCTTTGTTTTATTCTTTTCCCGTCATTCCGTCATCCCCCCCTACCCCCCCCCCAGCGGCATCTTGTTTTCCTTCCCTTTGCTAATTGATGCTCCTCCGGTGAGGCAGCATGATTCCTCCTTCTCCTTCTTCGTCTTATTTGTACAGCTCCTTCACGCCGAATAACATCACGTAGCAGTCGGTTCGCGTCTGCTTCCCTCCCCCCGCGCAGTGAAAACTGCCGGTGTGACACAAACACGAGTACACAAACGTGTACACGTCGACGTTAAAATCCTTTCTAGCATCTTTCACTTCCTTGCGCTTGTTTGGTTTAAACTGATGTGAAGGTTTGTCATGATGAATTTCAGCAATGTTCAGATTCCAAGCTGGACACTTTTTTTTTGGTCTCAACAAAAGTTGTGAAAGGTAACTATCACAGAACCAACACGCAACAACATCATACTCAACACGGTGCCATCATAGGTCAACACAGAACCAACATGAAAACTTGTGTTGAACTTTCCTTCCTTCCTTCCTTCCTTCCTTCCTTCCTTCCTTCCTTCCATCCTTCCTACTGATTTGAGAATGTTTGCAATATTCAAATATTATACTAACAGTAACTACTAGAAGACTTCACATTCTCAGTTGGATTCATTAATGCATGGTGGGTGTCAAACTCAAGGCCCGGGGGCCAGATCTGGCCTGGCACATCATTTTGTGTGGCCCGCGAAAGCAAATCAAACATTTCAACTTTCATGATGCTTGATAAAATCTGTACCAAAATTTTAAGTTCTCACATGTAATAAATAAGAGCTATATTGTAAGCATTTTCTTGTTACCGAACCCCTCATTACAGTAACAAACAATCGTTGAATAAACTGTTATGATTGATTTTTTTTTTTTTGGGGGGATGGGGTTTCAGTCATAACGGTCCTCCAAGGGAAACGGTAACTAAAATGTGGCCCACGACTAAAGTGAGTTCGACACCCCTGATTTAATGGATGCCATCATGCCAGAAAGATCGAGACACGGCTGTGGAGCCCTTTTCTGCCAGATGCGGAAGATGGTCGAGTCTGTCCAAAATGATTCCTACACTTATACTGTCTCGGCTGCCCCCACACAAGAGGTCGCCTCTGCCTAGCCCATGTGACAAAGTGTGACTCGGTGGTCTTGACTGGATCCAATGACATACGTGTGCCACAGAATGCCAAAGATAAACAAGAGAGAGGTCGCGGCGGTACAATGGCCTCATCCAACAGACCGACACGCGGTGGGGTTATCTTGTTCACGCTCAGTCAGGTGAAGGCGTGGCTAATGAGGGGTAGCATTACGGGAAGTCGACTCACATTCAGATCTGGCCCTGAGACTCGTTTGCACACAAGTTCATTGAGCCTCAAACTCATTTTGCTACGGGAAGCGACCTCCGCGGGCATCATGACTCCCGCCAAGTCCCTATTCATGAGCTCCTTGGCGTGCGGAGGGCGGACCCACCCCTCAGGGTTTCGCTTTGCGCTTTCCGCTTTGTGCTGTCACCTCGCCGCATGAAAAATGCAGCGGACACCAAGTGACAAAAGAGCGACGGAAAGCGGCCCTGCATCCTAACAATCCTTACGACAGCGCTCCTTTCGTGTCAGACAAGCGTCAAGTTAACACGCGCGAAAGCGCAAACGTGTGCGTCCCTGCGGTCAGCGCTCGGCTTTTTAACATGCGTCTTACGGTACGCTCCAGAAAGCTGCCTACGCGTGCATCGGTTTGACTCTGTTCAGGCGCCCACGCTGAGTGGAGCTTGGCAAGTGAGAGGGAGGGGTCGCTTTACCTTTTTTTTTTTTTTTTCACTAATGCGCTAGCTAATTGCTAGCATCCCCACGCCTCCCTTTTTTTCCCCTCGAACCCCTTTCAATCCATTCCCCTCCACACCTCTTTCCACCTGCTCCTTCTCTCACCTCCTCGGTCGTCCTCAGTTCCGAGCTGTCAGGTCGCGTTGATGTTGATTGTGATAATGGGCCACGTTCCATTTCGCGGCTGGAGGGGTACAGCGTATGTAAAACAAGACAACTTTAAATAGACGCCATTATTCTGCATTTAACCAGCCAGGAGTGACAAGCATGCAGGCAGAGGAGGACGTGAGGAGCGGTTCATCTTCACCTCTTCCTTCTGCTTCACTGAAAAAAGTGAAACCAACGTCATTTAGTTGAAGTGATTTTTTTTTTTTTTTTTTTTTTTTTACAGTTTTGTTGAAAATGGTGGTTTAGAGTTCAAACCTGGTCTGTTCATTTTGACTGAGTGCCCCCCCCACCGTCAAACAAAAGGCCATAGTGTTACTTAAATAGCATTTAAACTTTAAACAGAAGGTTGGTGTGCCAAATTTCTGCCAAAATGTCCTTGTTTTAAAGTCTGTCAAGTGAAATGAAACGTCTTGTGAATTTGATCCAAAACAGAGAAGAGCGTTGTTTAAAACCATTGGAAAATTATAATGATTTTAAAAAACAAGTATATAGAATGAGGCTTCAAAGTTGTATGATGTATATAGAAAAAAAAGGTCTGAATTCACTTTACAGGGTCTTTCGGCGGGTAAATGTGGTGTTGTTTTTTTTTGGTGCTGTTTTTGTTCGAAGTGAGCTGGGAAAAAAAAATAAAGAATCAATCGTCCAAATAGTCGGTGGTCAAATATTATTTTAATTGCTCCGTGTTTGTGTAAATTTTTGCAAAGGTAATACTTTTCATTCGGATCAAATGATATCAGTTAATAAATTTAGCTGTAGCAAATTAGTCTTTTTATTAAAGTTGGCCCAAAGTCAAATTTTTTTCAGTGCTCCTCCGACACAGTTTGTTGGCAGAAGTTGACACGAAATTGTTGTTTTCCAGTCTTCTCGACAAATCCCTCCACGGGAAAAAAAAAAAAGCAAAAAAAAGCACACGACTCAAGAGTTTCAAAACAAAACCTGTGTCTTTTTTTGTCGGCAACGTCATAAAAAAAAAAAAAAAATGGAGCTGTTGCTTCCCGGGGAACAGGATGCAGATAAAAGGCGCGATATGAGCTCGTTGACTAATGTCAGCACGTCCCCTTGGGGCCTGCAGAGACGCCTGCTTTCATGATGCCAAGTGAACATACCGCGGCACTAGCTAGTTTAGCTACAAAGTGGGGCGGCGTAAAAACAGCTAACGACGGTCACAAAACAACAGCTCGAACACATAAAACAACAGTTGAATTTGCCAAGTTGACGGCATGGTACGGTAAAAATGACTAAAGCGCAGCGTTGTCGTGTGAGCAAACAGCTAAATAAACATAAATACAGCCAAAACCATGTCACTATGCTTAGCAAACTTTATGCAATTTTTTTTTTAAACTGAAAAGTAGCCAAAGTCATGTCAAAGCACTTGAAAATGACCAAAAAAACAAAACAAAAAAAACTAACATTATTATAAGCAAAGTTTGGCATTATGTTAGACTGACGGAAGGTCCATCAGCCCGCCACTTTTTCCGTCAGTATTTCAGGCCGACCAATTGCTAACCATAACCACTCTGCGATGGCTAGTAACCTGCTAATGTGATACAACGAAGTCACATAAAAGTAGCCAAAGCCATGTACAAACAATGACAACATTTTGTGTTTTACAGTAAGTGTTAGCAAAAAGCTAATGTGACGCTTTCGAAACAAATGGCGGCAAAGTCACGACGCTATGTTGAGCAAACTTTGGAAATCGTCTTCTATGATTTCTATATCTTCCCCTAACTCTTCAAACACCCGGATCCCCTCGGATAAATTTGAAGCGTCGCTTTCCGAATCAATTTCTGACTAGCTTTGTACACTTTCCATAGTGAGCCCCGCTATTGTTGTCTTGATATGACATCGCACTTGCGGCTTTGTCGGTCATCGGGATCTCACTTAAGGGGAAAACGTTGACTTTGTCAAATTTACAAAAGAGAAATTCTTTTTTTCATACTTTATATAATCTATTTTGTTTCATTACTTTACTTGTAACATAAAAATATTTCATTTGGGATTTTCTAAAAATTACTTCACTCTTGACCTTTAAGTACATAACGTGACTGATTGTAACAACCAAAAGTGGAAAAACCCTGCATCTTTATCCACAGCCGCTCCAATTTATGATTCCGGACATTTTTTTTATATTTCTGGAATAAGTCTACATCACAATTAGGAGCACTATATTTTCCATTTTCCACCAATGACTTCCATCAGGCTCCTAAAAGAGCGCCAATGACCTGTCGGTTTGGGGTCACGACATCATCTCTTGCTTTGATATACGACTGAGTCTCTGTCTCTCTCCTGCAGGTGACGAGTGGTACCTGTGCCGGTTGACTCTGAGCTCACTCAGTCAGGCCCACCTGCAGTGGACCATGTTCCCGGCCCCCTTTCTAGCGGCCGTAGGTCCCGACGCCGCCCCCGGGACTGTGGTCTACCGCTTGTCATCACGGCAACGTGACGGCACCCTCGGACAGCCTCAGTTCATCCTATTGGACGGTGAGCAATCGCATAAAAATCAAATTTTTATGACCCCTTAGTTGTGTCGTTGTCCTTATTGAGTTTTTTGCGAAGCCACGCCCCTTGACACAAACTGGCCTCTTGCACACAAACATGTATTTTTGCTTTATGAAGGTGATTATTCCTGAAGTATCCAGTGTGATTGGAAGGAAATGATTTTATTTTGTTCAAAATAAGGCTGCTGAGGTGGCCGTCCACACACTCGAAAGAGAGCTGGAGAAAATAGGCGTTTATTTTGTCACGTTAACGTGCGAAAATAGGACATAAAATTGGCAGATTTTTGCTTATTTGAAACTGCCTATTTCAGGAATTAATTTGACAGGGCTTAATAGAGATGAAAAAGTTTGAATGTTGGTCTATTTTAATCAAAACAATTTGGTGAATTATTATTAATATAGATAATACAAATTTATGTATGAAATTGCTGGGATTGACTGCCACTTGACACAATTTGCTAATTAAATCAGAATTGGGTAAAAAAAATTGCATTATTTTGACACAATTTCATGTATTCATTTAAGGAACAAAAAGCGTACATGTCAAACTCTTGACCCAAAGGTTAAGTTACTCACATACACGCGCTAACAGTTTTTTTTTTTTTTTAATGTTCCACTCCCTGGGGTCCGTTTGTGCATCGATGTTGGAGTACGTTAGCCTTTAATTAAGGGACAAAAGGCTGCTCAGCAAACTAAGTGAAGCCATTTACCAGTGAAATATTACTCAGTGTTAAATCAAACGTATACGAACGGTGGTCTAAATTTAATAGCCTTAGTGTTCGCGTGACATTAAATCCTGATGTATATGTAAATTTGGCAGTTTATATTTATCCTTACACATAAATGACACGCGTACATGCAAATGAGAATGGATATGTATTACCTGTCATGTGAATTTGCATGTGGCAAACCTGCTTTAGCTTGGAGCGCCGCAAATTTATCGAAATAAAAAGTGACTTGTTGAATTTCAATCAGCATCAAGAAACGGGAGAGAAAGGGAAAAAAAATGGCTGTTTAATGGCACGACCCCCGCACCCCCTCACCCCCATGCTAAACACTCCCCTGGGGGCCTGAGCGAGCTCCCACATTGGGGAATAATAGGAGCGTCTCTGGGGAGGTGGGCGGATGGACGCCGGTGGCAGAAGATTTTTTTAATTTTTATTTATTTATGTTGAAGCAAAAGAAGATATTTTAAGAGTTGATTTTTTTTTTTTTTTACTGCATCCCTTTGGCATAACGTGATGACACGTGTCCTCACAAATCATCCCCTAATTTGACTTATCCCCATGTTTTACCACTGTGGATTTAAGTGCGATAAAGTCACACTTCATTCTATTTATAAAGTCACCACGTTGTTAGTTACACCGTTTCATGAAAGCCACTGCAGGAACGCTCTACCACAAAAAGAATAATGCTCACTTTTCAGCTCAAGTGCTAAAACACAGTGGCCAATCTACGGTATATTACAAACAGCTCTCAGTACGATGTCGTATACATGTACAGTGGTCCCTCTACTTACGAAGATCTCTTTGTACGAAATTTTCAAGTTACGAAACGCCTCAACAGGAAAAATATTGCCTCTTGTTACGAAACAAATTTCAAGATTCGAAAGGTAAAAATACAATATGGGCTGCGAACTCGCAGCTCCGAGTTTCCTGAACGCAACATACTTAGAGCTGCTCTGCCATTGGCTACTCCCGAGCATCATCCTGGTATCCCATTGGCTAAGAGGGACCTCTACCCAATGTGTCTATGTGTGCAGATAGACAGATATGAGTCTGTGCAGCGTCCTCGTCATTCGCCCCCTCGGGCCATGAGGTGTTTTACGTAAATGTGAATCACCCAGAAAAAGTGTTCAACCAGTCGGGCGATCGCTCACGATGCTGATGTTTGGACATTTTCGAAGGATTGTTAAAAGCTGGTCTATTGTTAATAGAAAACAGAGGTCCCCTCCACCCCAGTGATGCTAAGCAGCATCATCGTAGCAGCAGGATGAAATGATTGACAGGTGGGATGCAGCTGCGACCAGTGGAGGCCCTCTGGTCAACAGCTGAGGATCCCACTTCCTCTTTTTCCTCCTCTCCTTCATCTTCATTTGTCCCTCTTTTACCTTGGGCTCTTTGCAAAACTTTTATGAGCCATGCTGCTTTAAAAAAAAAAAATGGAAGTATTTGATAGGAAAAGCATTGCACCTACATTCGGAGAAAACGGCATTCATATTTTCTTCATTGATGCAATCATGTACATAAAGAGCTTTGACGCTGCGGCATTAAATCCAATGTGTTGTAATTAATAATGGCATATCATATCCATCCATTATCCACACCATTTAGCTTCGCAAGGGTCGCGGCTATTCTGGAGTCTAGCCGAGATGTCTTTGGACAGTAGGTGGGGTAGACCCTGAACTGAATTAAAATATTCATAATTATTGTAGTATGGTTTCCTTATTATTTTTTGTTTTACTTCATTTTCATTTTATTTCTCGAATTTTAATTGAATTTAGCTGAATTCGGGTTTCATTTGAATTTATTTGTAACAGAATTTAAGTAAAAAATATTTTAGTTACATATAACTGTTCTATTCTTTTATGAATAATAAGTTCTTTTAAGTTATAGTTTTTTTAAATACTTTTTTTACCATTTTATTTGTGTTTTCTCAAGAAAGTTAGGAATATTTTAGTCTTTTTTTCTATAAAATTCTTTGAAAATAGTAACATACATATTTTAATTTTAATGTGTATATGGTTTTCTTCTACATTTCATTTAAATTATTTTTTTATTTCAGTGATACTTTGCATCATTTTATTTTATTTTTGCATGATATTCAGCATTTTTTTTCAAGAAAATTATACATTTTTTTTTCAATGGTTTTTTTTTCAACAACGGGTAATTCATCGAATACAGTCGATAAGAAAGTATAAATAATACAAAATACATTTCTTTCTCCGGTTATCAGGTGGTATGGACTGCTTCGAGGTGGACCGCCGCTCAGGCGAAGTCAGGACCACGGGGCGCCCCTTGACCCCCAGCCATGAATACCATCTGCGGGTTCAGGCGGTGGACGCCGACGGCAGCAAAGGTCCGCCGGCCACCGTGTCGGTCCTCGCCGGCTTCCGGCCGCCGCAGTTCACCGACGCCACCTATCAGCTCAACGTGGCTGAGAACGTGGCCGTCGGACAGCCGTGAGTGTCAGCCATTACTCTGCGTCTGTTGCTTCATTTGAATGACAACATTATCCACTTTGCATCCCTTTAACAAAATAATTTGCTATATGACAATTACAGTGAAGCCTTGTTTATCTTGGGAGATACATTTCCGAACTACTTGCGATAGTTGGCAAATCTATTTCGAATAGACTTTTCACCACTCCCACATCTTTTAAATGCATTAAAATGTATAAAAACGCACTTTTTTAAAGCATTCCTCTGCACCTATCTTCACCCTCTTTCTATAAGGAAATGGGAGACGATTATGTGACATCACTTTGAGGACACAGGAAATCAAAGACTCTCTTGCTCGCACGATTCTCCCAAAAAAAAAAGAGGAAAAATGTGCTCGCTTCAAGCTCTTTATTCATCACTTCCAGATGATGTTTCTTGTAAAACGGGCACAGAAAACAAAAAGTTACCAAACAGTGTCCATTTTAACATATACATTTACATCTAATTAAATTTACATAAAAGAAACATGAAACGCCACGGACAGGCTAACGGGAATGAACATAGCTGTAGTGGCTACGCTGAGTGTCGAATAACTGCAACTTTAACACACTTGGCGCAATGGTAACAGCCAGTATAATGCAAAACATGACAAGTACACAACACAAAACATGAATATAATGTTAATTAAACCATCAGTCAATCAGCAATGCATTGTGGGACTTGTAGCATTAACTACATGTGCATTCCATGTATCATGGAGGAGCAGGAGTAATGGATGGATGGAGGGTTGCAGGGATGGATGGAGGCATGAGATAGGATGAGGAGGAGGAGGATAGAGTTCGGGGGCTGGATGGCAGATGAAGAGGACACAGATGCACGAGTGTGTGTGGCCCCAGGCTGAGAGTTTGAAAGTGTGGCAAATTCAAATATTTATTAAAAGCGAGGTCTGGATAAACATGAAGGGATGCGGGTGTGTGTGTGTTTGTTTGTGTATATATGTGTGTGTGTGTGTGTGTGTGTGTGTGTGTGTGTGTGGGTGTGTGTGTTAAAGTCTGTTTATGTGTGTGCGTGTGTGTGTGTGTGTGTGTGTGAGTGTGTGTGAGTGTGAGTGTGTCCCTCTGGGCTTCTGGCGCAAAGCACATTGTGTTAATAATATCCAAGTGTCCATGCCACCCTGTGAGTCGTGTGTTTGGGGGGCATGTGTGTGCGTGTGTGTGTGTGTGTGTGTGTGTGTGTGTGTGTGTGTGTGTGTGTGTGTGTGTGTGTGTGTGTGTGTGTGTGTAGTTCCTCCATTTGAGTCCATTTGATGTGTCGCCCATGCCATGTTCAGCCTGGCTTCCATAAAAAAGCCATTTTGAGCCTCGCTCATTTAAATCAAAAGCAACTACATTTCCCATAATGCCTTGTAAAAAGGTCATTGACAGTGTTAGGAAACTGTTCAGTGCAACCTGTAAATTTGATTTTAAAAGGCTTTTTTTTTTCTAAAATAGACTCGATATGTTGTATGAGTACCAATCGTGGTAGATGAGCTCCCTCTAGTGATGTGAAAAAAGAACCACAGCCCAAGTACAGTTCAGTTGTATTTCACTTTTAAGATCAATTCATTTGCAATTATTCACTGTCCAATTGTTTTTACATTTTGATGTCAATATGATTTTTATCAAACTTTGATGTGCAATATATTTTAATTGACCCATTATTTTAGTCCGATTTTATTTTTGTACGATATTTAAGCGCGGTCACAGTGGCACATTTTGGAATCTTGACTTGTTCTCGTTTTTGATGAACCTACGACGCAACTGTATTTTTTTTCCCCCAGACAAAGCTATTGAGAACAGATTGTCATTTGAAATGCCGACCTGCTTCAAGACAGCAGAGTTAAACAATCAACCCCCCCCGACCCCCGCCTTCCAAAAACATACAGTATCCCTCAATCACGTTTTAAATGATGAATGAGGTGAATTTGGTTATTTGCTGTAAAGACATCAACCAGACGGATCTTTTTTTCTGCTGTCTGAGAACAACTACAGATGACTCCAAACTGTGTTTGTGTGTACAGTGTGGGTGCAGTCCAAGCCGTGTCTTTCCAGAAGAAGACGCTGGCTTACCTGCTGCAGTCGAATCCCGGCAATCTGTTCAGCATCAACCAGGAGAGCGGCTCCCTCAGCCTCACCCGCGCCGTCGACTACGAGAATGGGCACAACGTGCATACGCTGCAAGTCCGAGCCTCTGAGCCCGACACTGGCCTCAGCGGAATGTGTGAGGTATGGGGGAAAAAAAAAAAAATCAACAAACAACAACACATGACAGGCCACTTCATTAGGAACACACAGACATTGACCGATGAGCTCCAAACCAAAAGATAAACAATGGTCAAGGGAGAGAAACAAATTACAGATAATATAAAATATTCTATCATGAAATACGCTCATATTAATTCTGTGCTGATAAACGAATCCAAAAAAATATGCCATTTTTTTTCCCAATAGGCTCAAGAAAAGTTTCGTGGCTTGAAATTTGCAATTGTATTTGAACACGCAGCAGGAAGACTCGTCAGCAGTATTGTATGTAGCATAAAAATGTTTTAATATATGACAATGGAGTCTTCAATGAAGCTGACGTGCATGATTTTGGAATGTGGGAGACGTAGCTGGAGAAACCCCACTGAAGAACCGGGTGAATATGTAAACTCGAAGGTCAAAGGTCAAACACACAACATGAATCCAATCTGTAGTATTTATATTGTTTATTTTAGTTTGTAGCGAGCGGGACTTAAGTGTTTTCATTTTCAAACTTGCTTCCAGTGACGACTGCTTCGCTTCTGAGTGCAGCTGCTGAATCAGACTTTGTGATGCAACACTTCAGTTTGCTGCTTGTGCCGCTCATCGCGCACCCCCCGCGCCGAAAACGCGCACTCGCGCCGCCGTTGCTCTCATTTCCGTCGGGGTGCTTGATGAAAAGTCAGCACATCAAAGCTGCGTTCACGAGCTCAGTGATCAGACGCCATCGCCGTCACATCAGCACTTATACGCGCGCTCTTATAAAAAACACAGACTCTCATATAAACACAGGCTGATACACACACTTGTGTAAATGTGCAAAAACATCGCTGACCCCTCATGGTAAGTTCTGAAGATGTCATAGCTATTCGCATTAACACACGCACACACACACACACGCACGCACGCACGCACGCACGCACACACACACACACACACACACACACACAGATATATTCACACTCACCTGAAGGTGTCCATTATCACCTTCCCTGCTGTCCAAAAGTTGTTAAGTGCTTCAAAATGGCTACCAGTGGCCCCTAAAGGCTTTGGCTACTCTATTAGCTTGGCTGGCTAATCCACTCCAAGAGTGTGTGTGTGTGTGTGTGTGTGTGTGTGTGTGTGTGTGTGTGTGTGTGTGTGTGTGTGTGTGTGCGTGTGTGCGTGTGCGTGTGTGCGTGTGTCATATGTGTGCACCGCCTGCTTCTCCGTAACACTATTTATAGTGTACCTCACAGTCGCATCTATAGGTTGTGTAGCCTTCAGCCCCAAAGGACATTTTAGAAGAAATGTCACCCGGCACAAATCATTGCGAATCTACTGAAATGCTAAACCAAAAAAAAAAAACAACAATAAAAAATGTGTACAGTTGATGTAAGATCCTCTCAACATCATTTGGTAAGAATTCATACTTTGATTCACATGAGAAATTGTTTCCATGACTTGAAGGGTGTTGCTGTTTTGGTTAGCGAAAATATTATTGGTATGCAGTGTTCCCCGCTATATCGCAGAATTTTAAGGGCTTGTTTATTATGTTTTTTTTTCGGTATTGCAAGAAAGTCGGAATTTTGAGTTGAGCATTTTCAATGTTGCACGGCAATATCTTGGGCGATACTGAGGGTCTATTGGACAATCCATTCAGTGTAATTAAGAGGAAGAAGAAGAGGCAGAGTAGGTTTCCAACTAAACTCTTGTAATAGAAACGCAGAGCATTTGGACAACTGCATGAGCTCCAACAGGTCGGAACGTTTGCTCGAGTGAGTCAGGACTGATTATTTTTCATTATTTTGTTTCCAAATAAAACAGGAAGTTTATAAATAGAACTGCAGTGTCTACTTAATGACAAAAGTATGCCTCCTATAGGTTGTTGTCTACATAACAGATGAAAACGACTGCACCCCGGAGTTCTTGCACTCCATTTATACCCGAGACAACGTTCCTGAGAATGTCACCCCCGGAACGTCACTGCTGCAAGGTAAGATTGCATCAAAGATCATTCCATGCCGCCGCCGCCTCTTTTTGGGAGCATTAAAGTCTGATATCATTCTCAGTTCTGGCTCGGGACTGCGACTCGGGTGTCAACTCGGAGCTCTCCTACTCAGTCCATGGCGGCGACTTTGACATAACATCTGCGGGCGTGGTCAGCGCCGCCCGCCGGCTGGATTACGAGCGGCCCAATCACGTCTACGAGTTCCTAGTGGTCGCCGTGGACGCCGGGATGCCGACCCGCACCGGCACCGCCTCCATACGCGTCCGGGTGGCAAACACTAACGACGAGACCCCCATCTTCTCGCAGACGGTGTATGATGAACTCTCTCTTACCAGATAATCAGAAGAAGCAAGTGTATGATTTCCAAAAGGGTTAAAGAACTCAAGAACTATGATTCAGATGATTAGCTAGCTGTTATTAGATAAGCAGTAAGAGTAAGAAAGAGTTACTGCTACGAGATTATCAGAAGAAGTTAGCATGGCTGGTACCAGATTAGTCGAATAAAAGGAAGAACGCAGATTAGCTCTTGCAGGGTGAGTAGAAGAAGAAATTAGGCTCACAATTACCAGATTAGTAGTCGAAAAGCAGCTAGGCTCTCTGTTACCACATTAACAGAAGAAGCTAGCCAACAAGTAAAAGTAGAAGAAGCTGATACCAGATTGATAGTAATGAAGGAGTCTAAGATAAAGCTGTTAGGCTACCTGTTACCAGAGAGGGAGTAGTCAAAGATTGGCAGTGGAAGAAGAAATTAGGGTAGCTATTTCCAGATTAGTAGAAGAACAGCAGCTAGGCTCTCTGCTACCACATCAACAGAAGAAGCTAGCCAACAAGTAAAAAAGAAGCTGATACCAGATTGATAGTAATGGAAGATTCTAGGCTAAAGATGTTAGGCTAGCTGTTACCAGAGAGATACTAGTCGAAGATAGGCACTCGAGCAAAAAATTAGGCTCGCTATCACCAGATTAGTAGAAGAAAAGCAGCTAAAATCTCTGCTACCACATTAACATAAGCTGGCCAAAAAGTAGAAGAAAAAGAAGAAGCTGATACCAGACTGATAGTAATGGAAGATTCTCGACTAAAGCTGTTAGGCTAGCTGTTACCAGAGAGGTAGTAGTCAAAGATCGGTAGTCTGTAATCAAATTATCTGAAACAGAAGAAGAAGCAAGACTATGTCATCCGCACTTTTGCTCAACTGGAATTGTTTTCAGCTACAAGACGTTCTTGAGTGAGGATGCGGGCCCAGACACCCTGGTCGCCATCGTCCACGCCAACGACCCTGATGGCGACGGTGTCTCGTATGCTATCACTGGCGGAAACGAGGACAGCAATTTCCTATTGGACAACCAGAAAGGTGAACAACACACGTTCGTTTGGGCTTGAGTGGTGAAATGACCCATCAACAGAGTTTAGCATGATACGTTAGCATTCAGGTATCGGATTATTGTTGGACAAAATATGGTTTGTCTGAACCTTTTTCTGTTGAAATGAACAATGTCAGTTTTACAGTAAACCTCTATTGGAAGTGACAGCAAGCAGACGTCATCTCTTTTTTGGAGGAACTTTGTTTGTTTGTCTTCTTTTTGTTTCCGCAAAGCGATGTTATCCGATCGTCTCACATTTCTAAAATGTGCTTTAAAACGGTTTGTGTTCTAATGAGTTTAAATACATTTGGAGCATGTGAGAGGGGCAAAATAACAGTCATCTAAAAATGTTTTATTTTTTATTTTTTATGGTTACGCTACATCACAGATTGTCACTTCTCACAGCTGCATCTGCAATGTATCCCCGTCTTGAGTTAACGATATTATTGGCGCCTCACGTCTTGTCATAAACAGTGAGCGAATGCCCCCAGATGATAGCTTAAGGTTGGTTTTCCCCATGTATGTCTGGATAGTAGAACGGCCCTAATATAATTTTTAAAGGGTTATTAGTAGAGAAGCAAATAAAAGAAAAAACAAACTGCAGCCCTATTTATAATTAATTCCAATTATTTTGTCACTGGTTTACGTCAATAATGAAAATGCCGTCATTTATATGAGAAACACAAAATCGTGTTGCTGCTGGTTCTCCCCGGATATTCGGGATGTTGTTTGTTAGCATGCATTAGCATAACAACATGCAACAGTGACAAAACATCCACGCGCGCGCGCGCGCGCACACACACACACACACACACGCACAAGTACATCAGTTGTTGCCGTGGTAACCAGCATATTGGGGACAATGCTAGTGAGTCCCCAAACAGACGTGCATGTATAAAATGTGAATACACCCATAATTATTTATTGATATTCAGCTGTGTTGCTCATGTTTATCTTTTTGTGTGTTTTGCACCTTATCGCCCATCATGCACTCCTCTGCCGCACACACACTTGCACACACAAGCACACACTCATACACACATACAAACACATACAGTACACACAGCAAAGTGCTAAGCACATAAATGGCTGCAATAGTTTTTTATTGTTACCCACACAAGGCAGATAGCCTTTGGCTTGCTGGGATGTTGGACTCTGTCAAGTGTGTAGTAAGTATTTTCATGTAAATGCACTCCCCGGCTCCCTGGCAAAGCCGCTTATGTGTTAGTTTGTTTGCTGTGTTATGCTAATGCCCTCCTGATTGTTTGCACAAGAAAACGCGGCATTGGTTTTTCAACATCACGGACGAATGTGGTTTTTTTTTTTTTGCCACCTACGCCGAACGTTGACGCTAACTGATATTCCTTCAATGGTTGGTTTTAGGGTCGGGGTCATGGTTAGGGTTTGGGAGATGGACTTGGGTCGAGAGTCCGTGTTATGTTTTTGGTTTTGGTTCTTATATGTAGGGTTTAGGGTAGGGTTAGTTTTCGGCATTATTGTTTAAATTTGAAATAACATTTTTGGGTCGATATTCAAATTAGGGCTAGGTTAAGGGTAGGGGTAGTTTTTAGATTTAGGATCGGTTTGGGGTTCAGGTAGGGTTTAGTTTTAAGGTTTAGGTCAGGGTTTGGGTGAGTGGTTAGGGTAGGGATTAGGTTAGGGGCTAAATTTAGGGCAGATGGGGGTTTCGGACAGGGGTCATGGTTAGGAGTTAGTTCTGTAGTTTTGGTTTTTGGTAGGGGGTTAGATTTAGAGTTGGGAAACAGAGTAGGGTAGGGTTTTGGTTTTCAACTCGGGTATATGGTTAGGGTGTCGTGTATGGGTCAGGATTTAGTGTAGGTGTTAAGTTTAATAATAGGCATTGGATTATGGATATCGCCATATCGTATTCCTTTGTTCTGCAATACAATCTGTATTTCCTGTTTCAAGGCATCATTAAGCTGCGGCGGAGCCCTCCGCCTCGACTCAAAGGTCCTCAGTACGTCCTCACCATCACCGCCACCGATGACAATGCATCCGGCGGTCCGTACCCACTCAGCAGCTCAGCTCAGGTCATCGTGGGAATCAACGACATCAACAACAACAAGCCCATCTTCCTGGAGGTGGCAACCATTTCAAGACTGTCTCAACTGTTTGAAGATTCAAAGCGATCTCATGGGTGCTCTATCTTTTTGTAGTGTCAGAACTACAGTTTGAAAGCCGCCGTTCTGGAGAACCAGCCCCCCGGGACTTTTGTGTTGAGGGTCCAGGCCCAGGATGCTGACATGGGGGTGAACGGAGAAGTCAAGTACGGGATCATGCACAGGGATGGGGTGTCGTCTGGATTTGACATCCATCCAGACACGGGTTGGTATTGGCACCACTGGTATCTGACTGTAATGCACTTTACTTTGGAGATTTGAAAACAAATAATAGGATCTTAAAAAGAACTCTAAAATGTATCGGGAGCCAGTGACGGGATGCCAGAGTATGTGCTCCCTCTTACGAGTACCAGTCAAGGGGCGAGCAGCAGCATTCTGGACCAACTGGAGACGCTTAATGGAGGATTGTACAGCACTTTGTATACAGCGGTGGTTGTTTTAAAGTGCTCTATAAATACAGTTGAGTTGAGAGTCGAGGTATCAAACGTTCTTAATCGCATTTCATTTCATTTCAACAAGGAAAATTCAGAGTTGGTATACAAGAAAATCGAGTTAGAAGCATGGTGATATAACGAATTAAACTCGTCTTCATACATCTAGCTACAGTACCAACTTATTTGGTGTCTTTGTTGTGCCAGGCGTGATCACGACGGCGGTGAGTTTCGACCGGGAGCGTCAGCGCGAGTTCACGCTGTCGGTAACCGCCACCGACCAAGCCGAGGAGCCGCTCATCGGCATCTGCCAGATCACCGTCCTCGTCGCAGACCAGAATGACAACGACCCCAAATTCGAGAACAGCCGCTACCAGTGTGAGTGTTTGGTTAGCTACTTAGCATTAGCATCTACTGCTACTTGAACCATCTCACAACACATGTTAAAAGAGTGAGCTGATGTATAAACTTTTCAGACCCTGTTCGTACCGCCCGTTTGAGTTCCTTTGCCTCTTCCGTTGTTTTGGGTGTTGGTTTGATTCAAATAAACCCTTTGAAGGGACATTAGCTTATTGTCGCTGTACTGTGAATTACACAGGTATGTCCATTTTTGTTATTTTGTTGTTTTTTTTACATTTTTACATAAATGGTGTCCTTGTTTCAGGCATCCCATTAACGAAGAAAATGACAAAAATGGACATACGTGCTTTTCACAGGACAGAGACGATATCCAGTTGCCAACGGGCTTTTATTTAAAACTCCTTTCCGAGACAGTAAGTGGGTGTTAAGATAGAGTTGTCTTTTCAAATTAGAGTTTCAAGACAGCGTGTTTGTGTGAAAGTAGGGTTTTAAACCTGGATCAGTGTTTCAAACAAAGCCTGGGGTTTTAAATCGGGGTTTAAACGAAGGGTTGGTTTTAATCAGGTCTCGAGACAAATTGAAAGTTTAAAACCAAGGTCGAGACTTGCGGTCCTTCTCAAACCTTCATCAACTGAAAGTATCTATCTGAATGTCTGTTCACGATCTTTCCGATGGAAGTCTTTACTCGGCTAACAGCTCTCACTTGTACTCGGGTATTCTTGGCGCACATCTGTTGCCGAGCTCATCCATATTCAGAGTGAGCTCAAGCTCACACATTCGGCGCCGGCTTTCTCGGCGCGTGTCTTCCATTGGATTTGTTTCGCCTGAGCCTTTCTGTCGGGATCAGGTGAAGTTTGTCAGTCGGCTGTTAGCCGTCAGTCTGCATCGGCGTCAGGCCGGGGATGAAGGAGGGATGAAGGAGAGATGAAGAAGCTCTTCGGGCCTCGGTGTGTTTGTTTGTGATGTGCGTTGTTTGGCTGTGTGTTTTGATAAGCGGCGCGTCACAACTCGTCCTCGTCACATTAGCGAAGGAGGACCTCATGAACTATTTAGCACACACGTTTGAATGGTTCTGGCATGCGGGTGCGTGTGTGTGTGTGTGTTTGTGTGTGTGTTTTAGAATTCTTTGTCATCCAGTAAAATCAATATTTGATTGGTTCATTCCAATGAATGGAAACAGAAGGCAATGTATGAACTGACCTCAGTCCCAAACGACGTTAGCAATCGTGTCCTCTTTCAAAATGAGGTATTGAGTCGGTGTTTTAAACGAGGGTTGATGGCTCAATTTGGGGTTTTACGACATTTTTGGGGGGGGTCTTCAAATTTGAAGTTTCAACCTGGATTAGGGTTTCAAACAATGAATCAGGGTTTAAGAAAAAGAAAACCTTTATTTGTCTCACAATGGGGAAAATGTGAGAGTTAGGGCTTCAAGTTAGGGTTTTAAACCTTGTGTAGGGTTTCAGACAAAGATTAAGTCAGCAATTTAAGGTTTCAAAACATGAGTAGAGTTTTCAAAAGAGGAATTTAGGCCTGGGTTGCGGTTTTAAGCAAGGATTTGGGTTGAGGTTGCAAGTTCGGCTATAAATTAGGGTTTCACGCTTGGGATGGATTTCAAATAAAGGGTTACGTTTTCAAGTAAGGTTTTAAGACGCAGTTGAGGTTTCAAAATAGGATTTTTTTTTTGGGCCAGGGCCAGGGTTTCAAACATGGTTTATAGTTTCAGGTTTGGGCTTTTAATGGGGCTTTAAGTAGGGTTAGGGTTTCAAATTAAGAGCTAGGGTTTCAATAAAAGGGTTAGGGGTTCAAAGTCGGGCTTCAAGTTATGGCTTCCATCTCGGTTTTTAAACCCTGGGGTAGGTGTCAAAGGGTTATGCCAGAGTATGTGCTCCCTCTTACGAGTACCAGTCAAGGGGCGAGCAGCAGCATTCTGGACCAACTGGAGACGCTTAATGGAGGATTGTACAGCACTTTGTATACAGCGGTGGTTGTTTTAAAGTGCTCTATAAATACAGTTGAGTTGAGAGTCGAGGTATCAAACGTTCTTAATCGCATTTCATTTCATTTCAACAAGGAAAATTCAGAGTTGGTATACAAGAAAATCGAGTTAGAAGCATGGTGATATAACGAATTAAACTCGTCTTCATACATCTAGCTACAGTACCAACTTATTTGGTGTCTTTGTTTTGCCAGGCGTGATCACGACGGCGGTGAGTTTCGACCGGGAGCGTCAGCGCGAGTTCACGCTGTCGGTAACCGCCACCGACCAAGCCGAGGAGCCGCTCATCGGCATCTGCCAGATCACCGTCCTCGTCGCAGACCAGAATGACAACGACCCCAAATTCGAGAACAGCCGCTACCAGTGTGAGTGTTTGGTTAGCTACTTAGCATTAGCATCTACTGCTACTTGAACCATCTCACAACACATGTTAAAAGAGTGAGCTGATGTATAAACTTTTCAGACCCTGTTCGTACCGCCCGTTTGAGTTCCTTTGCCTCTTCCGTTGTTTTGGGTGTTGGTTTGATTCAAATAAACCCTTTGAAGGGACATTAGCTTATTGTCGCTGTACTGTGAATTACACAGGTATGTCCATTTTTGTTATTTTGTTGTTTTTTTTACATTTTTACATAAATGGTGTCCTTGTTTCAGGCATCCCATTAACGAAGAAAATGACAAAAATGGACATACGTGCTTTTCACAGGACAGAGACGATATCCAGTTGCCAACGGGCTTTTATTTAAAACTCCTTTCCGAGACAGTAAGTGGGTGTTAAGATAGAGTTGTCTTTTCAAATTAGAGTTTCAAGACAGCGTGTTTGTGTGAAAGTAGGGTTTTAAACCTGGATCAGTGTTTCAAACAAAGCCTGGGGTTTTAAATCGGGGTTTAAACGAAGGGTTGGTTTTAATCAGGTCTCGAGACAAATTGAAAGTTTAAAACCAAGGTCGAGACTTGCGGTCCTTCTCAAACCTTCATCAACTGAAAGTATCTATCTGAATGTCTGTTCACGATCTTTCCGATGGAAGTCTTTACTCGGCTAACAGCTCTCACTTGTACTCGGGTATTCTTGGCGCACATCTGTTGCCGAGCTCATCCATATTCAGAGTGAGCTCAAGCTCACACATTCGGCGCCGGCTTTCTCGGCGCGTGTCTTCCATTGGATTTGTTTCGCCTGAGCCTTTCTGTCGGGATCAGGTGAAGTTTGTCAGTCGGCTGTTAGCCGTCAGTCTGCATCGGCGTCAGGCCGGGGATGAAGGAGGGATGAAGGAGAGATGAAGAAGCTCTTCGGGCCTCGGTGTGTTTGTTTGTGATGTGCGTTGTTTGGCTGTGTGTTTTGATAAGCGGCGCGTCACAACTCGTCCTCGTCACATTAGCGAAGGAGGACCTCATGAACTATTTAGCACACACGTTTGAATGGTTCTGGCATGCGGGTGCGTGTGTGTGTGTGTGTGTGTGTGTTTTAGAATTCATTGTCATACAGTAAAGTCAATATTTGATTGGTTCATTCCAATGAATGGAAACAGAAGGCAATGTATGAACTGACCTCAGTCCCAAACGACGTTAGCAATCGTGTCCTCTTTCAAAATGAGGTATTGAGTCGGTGTTTTAAACGAGGGTTGATGGCTCAATTTGGGGTTTTACGACATTTTTGGGGGGGGTCTTCAAATTTGAAGTTTCAACCTGGATTAGGGTTTCAAACAATGAATCAGGGTTTAAGAAAAAGAAAACCTTTATTTGTCTCACAATGGGGAAAATGTGAGAGTTAGGGCTTCAAGTTAGGGTTTTAAACCTTGTGTAGGGTTTCAGACAAAGATTAAGTCAGCAATTTAAGGTTTCAAAACATGAGTAGAGTTTTCAAAAGAGGAATTTAGGCCTGGGTTGCGGTTTTAAGCAAGGATTTGGGTTGAGGTTGCAAGTTCGGCTATAAATTAGGGTTTCACGCTTGGGATGGATTTCAAATAAAGGGTTACGTTTTCAAGTAAGGTTTTAAGACGCAGTTGAGGTTTCAAAATAGGATTTTTTTTTGGGCCAGGGCCAGGGTTTCAAACATGGTTTATAGTTTCAGGTTTGGGCTTTTAATGGGGCTTTAAGTAGGGTTAGGGTTTCAAATTAAGAGCTAGGGTTTCAATAAAAGGGTTAGGGGTTCAAAGTCGGGCTTCAAGTTATGGCTTCCATCTCGGTTTTTAAACCCTGGGGTAGGTGTCAAAGGGTTAAGGTTTCAAAGTAGGGGTTCCAAACAGAACTCTGATTTTAAATTAGGATCAGCTGGAGACGCTTAATGGAGGATTGTACAGCACTTTGTATACAGCGGTGGTTGTTTTAAAGTGCTCTATAAATACAGTTGAGTTGAGAGTCGAGGTATCAAACGTTCTTAATCGCATTTCATTTCATTTCAACAAGGAAAATTCAGAGTTGGTATACAAGAAAATCGAGTTAGAAGCATGGTGATATAACGAATTAAACTCGTCTTCATACATCTAGCTACAGTACCAACTTATTTGGTGTCTTTGTTTTGCCAGGCGTGATCACGACGGCGGTGAGTTTCGACCGGGAGCGTCAGCGCGAGTTCACGCTGTCGGTAACCGCCACCGACCAAGCCGAGGAGCCGCTCATCGGCATCTGCCAGATCACCGTCCTCGTCGCAGACCAGAATGACAACGACCCCAAATTCGAGAACAGCCGCTACCAGTGTGAGTGTTTGGTTAGCTACTTAGCATTAGCATCTACTGCTACTTGAACCATCTCACAACACATGTTAAAAGAGTGAGCTGATGTATAAACTTTTCAGACCCTGTTCGTACCGCCCGTTTGAGTTCCTTTGCCTCTTCCGTTGTTTTGGGTGTTGGTTTGATTCAAATAAACCCTTTGAAGGGACATTAGCTTATTGTCGCTGTACTGTGAATTACACAGGTATGTCCATTTTTGTTATTTTGTTGTTTTTTTTACATTTTTACATAAATGGTGTCCTTGTTTCAGGCATCCCATTAACGAAGAAAATGACAAAAATGGACATACGTGCTTTTCACAGGACAGAGACGATATCCAGTTGCCAACGGGCTTTTATTTAAAACTCCTTTCCGAGACAGTCAGTGGGTGTTAAGATAGAGTTGTCTTTTCAAATTAGAGTTTCAAGACAGCGTGTTTGTGTGAAAGTAGGGTTTTAAACCTGGATCAGTGTTTCAAACAAAGCCTGGGGTTTTAAATCGGGGTTTAAACGAAGGGTTGGTTTTAATCAGGTCTCGAGACAAATTGAAAGTTTAAAACCAAGGTCGAGACTTGCGGTCCTTCTCAAACCTTCATCAACTGAAAGTATCTATCTGAATGTCTGTTCACGATCTTTCCGATGGAAGTCTTTACTCGGCTAACAGCTCTCACTTGTACTCGGGTATTCTTGGCGCACATCTGTTGCCGAGCTCATCCATATTCAGAGTGAGCTCAAGCTCACACATTCGGCGCCGGCTTTCTCGGCGCGTGTCTTCCATTGGATTTGTTTCGCCTGAGCCTTTCTGTCGGGATCAGGTGAAGTTTGTCAGTCGGCTGTTAGCCGTCAGTCTGCATCGGCGTCAGGCCGGGAGGCGGGCGGGGATGAAGGAGGGATGAAGGAGAGATGAAGAAGCTCTTCGGGCCTCGGTGTGTTTGTTTGTGATGTGCGTTGTTTGGCTGTGTGTTTTGATAAGCGGCGCGTCACAACTCGTCCTCGTCACATTAGCGAAGGAGGACCTCATGAACTATTTAGCACACACGTTTGAATGGTTCTGGCATGCGGGTGCGTGTGTGTGTGTGTGTGTGTGTGTTTTAGAATACGAGGATAAAAAATAATAACAATAAAATCGTCTGGTCATTGTAGAAGGACTGATTCAACTGAGGAGACTGAAATGATTTTCATGATCAGTTATATACAAGATGTAAAATGCAATACTGATGAGAACAACAGCAAACTTCTCTACAGACAAAATATTTTTCTTCTTTTATGAACTTCCGTAGCGCTCATTAGGACGATTTATCGTTTTGGGATTGAAATCATTATCACAGAGATCGCGGTTTTGTGATTGTCAAAGCTGTTTTTTGTTTTTTTTTTTTCGTCTTTGCTCTCCGCCCGAGTGCTAATCACACGCCAGAGGAGCGCTAGTTTTAAATTTAGCCGTCCTGTTAATTACACCGCTAACGAGGTAGAGAGGCAGTCTGTCATGTTGTGTTAACTTTTTTTTTTTTTCCTTAACAGCATATGTGCTGTGATTATTTTTAAAACTTCACAAAAGTTCACTCATCTCCACCAAAACTTTCTATGTATCATATGATATTTGAAACAATATCCAGTGGTGGACCCGATTTAAGAATTATTTTGAGATACAATGAGGATTTTTTTGTTTGTTTGTTTGTTTTTTTTTTTGTTGTTGTTGTTTTTTTTTTGCTTTGACTTCTGTATGACAAAAACACAAAAAAGGAGGCTTCAAGTTGTACAATATCGCTCCCATTGGATATTTAGTGTCAAACTAAACATCAAACAAAGGTAATTAAACAGAGTTTTTTTTAAAACAAGCACACAACGTTGCCTTTGAGTCTGCTAACTTAAATGCTCGCACAGGCTGGGAAGTGCCATTGACGGGCTCATGCGTATTTATTATATTATATTATACTATATATAAACTATTATACTACATCCAAACAATTACTGTTACTTGACAGTTATTGATGATAACTGCCACTTTGCACAATAGAAATAAATAGCATGAAAAGAAATACGTCCACACAGTCCAAAATAAGTCCACGGCATGCACAGGCCACAAGCAATGTACTAGACGTGTTAGTTACGGAATGTTCTTCTTGTCATTTGTTCATGATAATCTCACAGGGTGACAAAAAAAATACAATAAAATTGTACACGGGCAACATACGGGTCGTATAATTGTTTAGATGGCGACTCTCCAGAATCTATTGGCGTGAACAGCCTTGCACAATGGAATGAAGCTCAACGGCTGGAAATACTCCACAGTGTGTTAGGTGTGTTGTTTAAGTCAGTCAGGCTGAGAGTGTTTCTGTGTTTTAAGTGCTCGGACAGCGTTTCTCACTCAGCGTCACTACCGGAAACGCAATACCTTCTGTGGAAACATTCCTCCTGGTGCTTGTTTTTTTTTTTTGTTTTTTTTTTCATCTTTACTTGGCAGAGGTCAAGATGGTGTTTTTCAGGTTTTTTTTTGGTGGGGGGTTTTTTTTTGTTTTTTTTGCTTTCCAAAGTAGAAAGGGTAGAGGTTATCCCAAGGTCTAATTCAACTATTAGAACACTGTGAAACCTCCAAGGTCAAACAAAACTATAGCATCGACCCAACAACACAAAATCAACACAGCCCCACGACAGAACCAAAATAGAAGCGACGCAGTCTAACAACAGAGCACAACGCAGCACCACCAAAGTACCAACTTGACATTAACGTAGCACCGACAAAGTGCCAACACAGGACCATCACCTGCATGTTTAAATGATGAACCAACAAGGAACTATCACAGACCTCGCAGAGAAACTTCAAAGAACCAGTAAAGAACCATCACAGAACCATCGTAGATTAATTGCAGATCTAATATTGAACTATCACAAACCAAACACAACCACTTAAGACAAATAAAACAATCCCAGGATGACCATAGACCAGGGGTCACGAACTCTGGTGCTCGGGGGTCCCTATTTTCTATGTTTTAGATTTTTACATCCACTATGTAAAAAAAATAATAATAATAATAAAATAAAACTAACACTAAAACTAATGAAAATCAAGCTAAAACAAATCATTAAAAAAAAACACACATTTTCTCTAAAAACTCATTCAAACTTACTGAATTTCAAAAACAAAAGTCAAAACGAAATTAAAAACTCACGTGAATGAAAAATCCCAAACTACTAGAACCTTGTCACAGACTTGACAGAGAACCAACACAGAAACCATTACAGTACTGGGCCAACGTAGCACAATTGCAGATCCAACAAACATCCCGATCGTAAATCCAACAGAGAAAAAATTTTTACAACAAAATGCAAAAGCATCACAGACTCAACATCGTCCATCTTGTTTTTCCATTTGTGTTGCGGATCCAAATTTTACTTCGGAAGGATTGCCTTGATTCCTTTCACATGCCTTGAAAGAAGCCAGCGTGCTCTGAGAAGAATGTTCCGGAATGTTCTGTGATGTTGGCCCGTTGAGGCCACTCCTTGCTGTCCTTACAAGGATGATGTGCAGCCTCGCAGCGCTCAAAGGTGAAGCGTGCCAGGCGTTCTTTTCACACGTCGTCAAGGCAACGCGCTCGCTCGGCGCGTCTGATTTTCGTCAAGAGTCAGTGCGAAATAAATGGACGACCTCCACGTGTCGTGTCAGGAGCAAGGGGCAGCTCCACTCAGCTCATATATTTCATCCAACTTTCACGTCAACTACTTGAAATACAAACAATACTAGTTCAAGTGGAGATCAAACGTCACTCGAACAGAACAGCAGCAAGTTCGCAAGTTCAGAAAACCGACATCCAACCATTTCAGAACCAAAGTAGCCCAAATACCATAACACAACAACAGCATAGACCCAAAAAAAGACCCAAAATATTGTACAACCGAGTTAATCCCAACAAAATAGATACAGTATATGGCAATAACAACAGCAGATACGAAACGTAAAAATACAATATGGGCTGCTCCTCGCAGCTCCGAGTTTCTTGAACGCAACATACGTATAGCTGCTCTGCCATTGGCTACTCCCGAGCATCATCCTGGCATCCCATTGGCTAAGAGGGACTTCTACTGAATGTGTCTATACGTGGAGATAGATAGATACGTGCCTATGCAGCGTCCTCGTCATTCGGCCCTCGGGCCATGAAGCGTTCCGGTAGTTTTACAAAAATGTGAATCACCCAGAAAAAGTGTTCACCAGTCGGGCGATCGCTCACTATGCTTACGTTCGCCTTGGACATTTTCGAAGGATTGTTAAACGCCGACAAAAGCAAACGTCCTTGCATCAGTTCTTTACAAAACTCCAGGCAAAAACCACTTCTGAGAGAGAACATGAACTAAAGACGGCAAAAACCGATGAGGACGCAATTCAAAGTTAAATGGCCATCATTTTTATTCTTTCTTCTTTGTTTTTTACATTATGCACAACTCTCATGTGTTGTGCAATAATCTAATTGGAACATGAATTTGTTGCATATTTTGATGCATTTTTATGCTTTGGAAAACATGTCCAAATTTTGGGGGAACTTGGAACGGATTAGGGCATTTACATGGAAAACGCGTCTCTACTTACAAAATCTAGTTAAGAAATATTTTTCCACAACCAATTCATTTCCTAAGTAGAGGTACCACTGTACAGTAGACTCAGAATCAACAAGGAACCAACACATACCAATGATAGCGCCATCAGTCAGACGCAATCCAATTCTAATTATGTGTGATCGAACTAATGCGGGCTCCTTTTACCGGCCCTCAGACGGTTAAGGCCACGTCTGCGCTGGGTGACCCGCGGGTCACCTACAACCTGGAGGAGGGTCAGGTACCCGAGACCAACATGCCCGTGCGCTTCTACATAAAACCAAACCGCGCGGGCGGCTCGGCGTCCATCCTGGTGGCCGAGAACTTGGACTACGAGACCACGCGCTTCTTCGCTCTCAGGGTTCGAGTCCAAAACGTCGCCGCCGTGCCGCTCGCCTCCTTCGCAACCGTTTACGTCAACGTCACAGGTGAGGAACTGGGACAAATTCAGCACTGAAGACAGTTTGGCTTTCAAACAAGGCTTTTTTTTAGGTTCTTTGTTATGTTTATTATTCACATATTCTGTGTTAAAACAATACATTGTTTCAATAAATTAAATATTCATGCATGATATCAACACTACAGGTAATTGTAATTAAGTATAGCATAAAAATTCAATAGTAAGTAAATAAATAATTGTGTGTAAATAATTTTTTTTAAATATAAAAAAAGTAATTTTTTATATTTAATTGACAAATAATTTCATAAAATACAGAATTTTACCATTATTTTATAATTATCCTCTGAATTCATACATGTTAAAATAATATATAGTTTTTATAAAAAATTATTATGAATTAACATTAATTTTATTTTATTGCCATAATATAATGAGAATGAATGAGTAAAATAGGTCAAATTCATCGTGTGTGTGTATGTGTGTATATATTTTTGTATTTTTGTTTAAATATTATTTACCAGTTATTTCCTGTTTTATTGTTATAATTAATGTAATTTGGATTCAGTAACCATTTTACATCCAATGGATTGAAACTCATATATTAGTATATTTTTAATACTTAACCTTGTTTTTTAGTAATCACGATTTCAAATATTTTTATATTTCAATATATTTTTTATTTGACCACATTTGCAATAATACATTATTTAAATACAGTAAATTAAAAAAATTATCTTTAATTTTATTTCACTACTAAAACAACAGCAATTTTTGAAATGAAATAAGAATTCTTATCATTAATTACAGAATGATTTAGTAAAATCGATACAAATATTTTTTACATTTATATTATTTTCACATCATAAGTCACCAAATTTGGGAGAGAGAAAAAAAACCTGCCAAGACAACAAATATTCCAGGATACTTGATTCTGCGCTGAAAGAAGCCCTCCTCGATCGCTCTACCACGATGTCTTCTCTCTTCAGACGTGAATGACAACGTTCCTTTCTTCCTGTCCTCCACGTACGAGGCCACGGTTCCCGAGGGGGCCGAGGTGGGCACGTCAGTGGCTCAGGTGTCGGCCATCGACTTGGATTCAGGCCTTCACGGCATGGTCAGTGTCTCCCTGAATATTACTCGCCGGTTTCCTGTTTTATCGGCGGTGCTGTGTACGGAATCACTCCCCCTATCCCCAAAATACAGCACAGTGGTGGTCTCTCTATCATGAGACACAATTGCTTCAATGCCCATTGACGTTGTGCTGCTTCAGCTGTGGGGCTCCTACACTCCATGATGTAAAAATCTCTTTCTGGTGATTCGGGAGTAAAGAATGAGTGAATGATTGTGGACGCAGCCGTGGTTTTTCTTGGTCCCGTCCAGGTCCACTACACCATCTTGAAGGATGAGAGTGGAGACTCTGGACTGTTCAGCATCCATCCGATGAGCGGGGTCATCACCACGCGGGCCTCCTTTGACCGAGAACAAAAAGCCTCCTACCTTATCGAGGTCCAGTCGCAGGACGGCTCTGAGTCGGCAAGACCGGGACAGCAGGGACAGCCCAACACCGGTAACCACCCCGGAACCAATCTCGAACGAGCACAGAACCAAGACATGGCTCATTTTGTCATCCTCTCAGACACGTCCTACGTCAGGATCTTTGTGGCGGACGTCAACGACAACGCGCCGACATTCCCACGCTCGGTGTATGAGGTGAGCGTGGAAGAGGACAAGGAGGTGGGCTTCGTCATCATCACCGTCACAGCCAACGACCACGACGAAGGTCAGTCACGGCTGAGGAAAACCCAACACAGGGTCTAAATCAAGTCACATTTATTTCAATCGCACGTTTCAGCCATAAAATATCAAGTTAATGGCTATTTGCTCAGAACAATCAAGGTTAGTCGTTTGAACATTAAATATATCTCGCCTTTGTATTCGAGTACATATAGCTTGGGCATGAATTGCAAATGATTGTATTCTGTTTTGGTGGCACGGTGGTTCCGGTTCTCCCTATGCCTATGTGGGTTTTCTTCGGGTACTCCGGTTTCCTCCCACATTCCAAAAACATGCATGGCAGGCTGATTGAACACTCCAAATTGTCCCGCGGTGTGAATGTGAGTGCGGATGGTTGTTCGTCTCTGTGTGCCCTGCGATTGGCTGCCGTCCAGTTTAGGGGGGGCCCCGCCGCCAGCACGAAGAAAAATAGGCGCGCGCCCCCCCCCCCCCCCACCCTTGTGAGGATAAGCGGATCGGAAAACGGATGGACGGCTCTATTCTGTTTTTACTTCCCCCACAGCATCGCAACTTCATTGGAATTGGGTTTGCACATTGGGGTGAAGTTCGGCAGCGAGCCAGCGGTGTTGGCAGGTCTGAATTAAATGCGGCACGTGGCAGTTCACTCCCACAAATTAGACGCTTTCCAGTCTTTTGTCAAACCGAAATGGAATTGGGTTGGTAGAACCATCGCAGAACCAACTCAAAACTGACAGAATTCATACAGACCCAACTGAAAGTGGCATAATAGAACCACCACAGAGCCACCATCGACCCAATGAAGAACCGATATCGAACCAACACAATAACAACATCATAAATCCAACACTGAACCATCATGAGCCGAAGATCCAACCAACAAAGAAAGAACAAACAAGTTCAGCACAGATGAAAGACCTTACACAAGATGAACACAGACCTAACATAGAACCATCATTGATCACAGCACCCAACCACCAAAGACCCAGGATAGAACCTAAATACAACTTAGACGCGACGAGCACATGATAGAACCAACATAGATCCAACGATCTCCTACGAAAGCAGAATCAACACAGATTCCAATTTAGACCGGGATTTTTAATTCTGCTGGTGTCTACGGTTGTGTCATGTCTCTTTCCAAACTCAACAAGTTACCTCTCGCACCACCCCACCCACACCTTCCTCCCGCCGCCAACCTCCTCCCCTCGTTAGTGAGCACCACCGCGCTCCCCAGAGCAGGATCGTTTTGATGTTTTTGTTTGCCTTGGTCCCTCGCTTGTCTTCCTCCTCCGCTCTCCATCAATGAGCAGCGGGAGGCCGCAAATCAACAGAACAGGCTCCTTCTCCTTTTTTGTCGTCGTGACGACAGCGGACGCTAGGCGACGCCTGTCAGTCTCCGAGGGCTTGGCTTGTTTTCACTTTCTTTTTGCACCTTTCGCTTTTTGACTGCTCTGACGCACACACTCCAGTGGGGCCTTTGCGTCCATATTCCCGATTGACTTGATTAGGTGCACAGTCTCAAGTGAACACCATTGATCGATCGGTTCACACAAAGCGAAAGCACGACAACTAAAAGCATTTCCAAGCAAACAGCGTGAGGCATTCAAAGGCAAGCACAGAGAACAAAAGTAAATTGTGAAGAATTCTGAAAAGAATGTACATTAAAATGAATCGCATTTACAAGCAAATGATTAAAAGGCATTTGAAAGTCAAGTAAATAAAAAGGTGTCTTTCCAAAATGACTGACACTGGTTTTTGTGAATGGATTTCAAAGCATTGATATACTTGGGGTTTGCCTTAATTCACTTCTTTTGGCAGCTTATTTTACTTGAGTGCAGCATAACAGCGAAATGCTTCTTCACCATGTTTGCTTTGAAACCTGGGCTCCATCGATTGACCCGAGTCCACAGACCTTAGAGCCCTTCCGGGTTTATATTCAATAAGCCTTTCTTTCATTTAATCAGGACCCAACCATTAAATTATTTCTCGACCAGAGGCAGAATTTTAAAATGACACAGCTGACTAGGAGCCAGTGTAAAGCCTTTACAACATCGACTCAACACAGCACCAACCTACAACCGGCATGCATTCATCACAACGTCCCAACAGAGTACATCACAAAAAAACAACATAGGAACACTAAAGGATCAACCAAAAACAACATTGATTTACCATCGACCCATCACAAAACCAACATAGACCGAATAGAGGACCAACAAATCAATAAATGCAGAATCAAAACAATATGCTACTACCGTATAGGCCAATATAGCATCAACGCAAAACCTACCTAGAACAAATAGCAAAACAACATAGTACCAATGCAGACCCAACTTAAAACCGGCATTGTACATCTATCTCAGAACTAACATCGATCCACAACAGGGTCGACATAGCGCCGGACTAACAGAGCGACAACGCAGCACCCACATACTGCTTCCTGGATTTGCATTTCAGCTATCCGAGAGGCTGAAGAAAATCCTTTCCTGTGTGTACTTATTTCTTCATCTTGATCTATATAGTTTGACGAGCGAAAGAAAGGCAAAGTTCCGGCTGGATGAAGCCCCCCACCCACCCACCCCCTCCCCGTGCTGCCCCGTAAAGCTGATTAGTCGGTGCAGCTCTTTGTCACCCTGTGTGATTTCTGCATCCTACTCGGCCCTCCGACTGGAAAATGTGCCGAACTAAGTGCGTCTGCTAATGAGATCAAAAGGCTGTTTAAGATTCTGCCGAGTCGGCTCTTTAGCGCCGGTGTCGCCTGGAGCTTCTCGCGCACACATACAGGCACTTAAACACTTGAACACATTTACAAACAACGCACACAGTGGCAAACACATGCGCCATGGATGAGCACACTCACTCTTTTTTACACACACACACACACACACACACACACACACACACACACACACACACACACACACACACACACACACACACACGCACACAAAAACCCTCTCTTCTTTTCTGTTCCCCCCTCATTTGTCCAAACACATTTGTGTCTAGTAAGCCACGAACAACCAACACATCAACAACAATGAACCAACATATAACCAGCAGAGACCATACCGGGACCAAGCAAAAAACAACATTTAAATAGATAAAAAAAAATTACCATAGAACATCACTAAGCTAACATAGACCTCCATATTGTGGCATCATCACAGCCTTAATATCACCAACACAGTATCAATGCAAAATGAAGATAGAACCAACACAAAACCAACATAGACACCCCGCACCCCACCCCCTGGCCCCGCCCACACACAAACACCCACACAGTAACAACTCAGGACCATCTGAGGAACAATACATAGATGATGTTTCAAAAAACAGAAAAAAACAGGACAAGCATAGACCAGCACTGAATCAACAAAAGACCATCGGAGGACCATCATAGAAGCAACATAAAATAATAAATAGCCAACATAGGAATCAACATGGAGCTAGCCGAGAACCAACATGAGCACCATCACTGACTCAACACTGAAAATAAACCAAAACAGAACACAAACAACAACGCAATGAGTGGAGCCACATAGTCCCACATGAGAACCACCACGCTATCTGAAGTAGTGTACCACTCGACGCTTTTTTTTTTTTCATGATGTAATGAAACTCTGAGCTGTGAGCGATGAGGAGTCGTTCAGAGTGAGGACCTGCAGTCACAGCTGGGGGACAACTTCCCCTTCAGCTCCACCTCACAAGGAGCCCTCGACTGACCTTCATCTCATTTTCGAGCCTCCCGCTGGGCCGGCAATTAAATCAACACCCATGTGTGTGGATGCGCGTGTGCGCACGTGTTTGTGCGTACGTGTATATGTGTGTGTGTTTGTATCTGTGCGCCTGCATGTGTGTGTGTGAAGAGGGCAATGCCATATGGCCCGCCTGATCATTAGTGAGACTGCTGCGGGCAAGGAACCACTGGAGCCACACACACACACACACACACACACACACACACACACACACACACACACACACTGGTCACCACGGATTGTGCTCAGAGACTGTGAAGGACCAGTGAGGTTCAGCTTTCACACACACACACACACACACACACACACACACACACGCACACACACACGCAGTTGGAGTGTGTGGCTGATGAAGGTCCTGCACGTCTCCACAGATGGTGATAGCCTGCTAAATTCTCCTCGGTGCCAGTAAATGTTGAGCGAGCCTCGACCCAGACGGACCTGCCTCTGGGCTCCCATCATGCATCTGTCTGTGTGTGTGTGTGTGTGTGTGTGTGTGTGTGTGTGTGTGTGTGTGTGTGTGTGTGCGTGTGCATGTGCGTGTGCATGTGCGTGTGCGTGTGTGTGTGTGTGTTTACGAAGGCCAACTGTGCAAAACACATTTCTGTTTGAATTCCACTGATATTTTGTTTGGATACTTGATGTGGAGGGATAGGTAGATAGATAGATAGATGGATGGAGAGATTTTTGGATAAATGCCCCATGGCCCAACTCAGCGCCTGCATGTTAACAACATATGTTCAGCTTATCTCGTTTGAGATGAACGAATATTTTGTTTCATTCCATCATGGATAGCTAAATCTACCAGAGCGCCAAAACTTTATCTGCGCACTCTGATTGAAAGAATATTCATGAAGACGCATACACAAAACAAATGTAAACATGCCAGAGGCAGCTCATTTGCATACGTGCTCCCTTGGCAGGTGACAATAAAAGACATGCAAACATGCACAAATGCATGCAAGGTATGTGAATGCGCTATTTTCTTCGTACACAGTGCACAACATGTCACACGAGTGTCATAAATCACAAGAAACGTGTTCCTAATGAAGTGTCCGGGGACTGAAGGACCGCATTTGTTATTCGTTCATTATCATTTGCTATATCATCTATTACACCGCTCCATGTATTTGAGTCTAGTCCATAAACCGTCGATATGATCAATGCCCCACCACAGGTGCCAACGCCAAGCTACGCTATCAGATCGCAGCGGGCAACACCATGGGCACTTTCGACGTGGAGCCCGAGGTGGGCACCGTCTTTGTGGCGCAGCCGCTGGACTATGAGATGGAGCGGCGCTTCGAGCTGCGACTGGTGGCCTCGGACGGCAAGTGGGAGAACGAGACGCTGGTGGTGGTGCAGGTGGTCAACCGTAACGACGAGGCGCCCGTCTTCAGCCTGAGCGAGTACCACGCCGTCATCCAGGAGGAGCTCACCGAGCTGCCCGTGTTCATCATGGAGGTGCGGTTGTTCATGTTTGGTCATTTGACGGGGTGTTTTCATGATTTTCTGTCGGTGTCCCAAAATATTTGTCCAAGCTCAGCATTTTCTTTCTTTTTTTTTTTTTTCACATCCTGTAGCCGTCCTAATCATTTTGTCCATGTGTTCTTCCCTTTTCACATTCAGTGAATGTCCCAATACTTTTGCCCGAACTCCATATTTTCCCTTCACTTTGTGTCCCCTTACTTTTGTCCACATGCGCTTCCCTTTTCACTTCCTGTGGATGTCCTAACACTTTTGTACGATTTCCACGTTCACATTTCTTTCCTATCCCTTTATGTCTCCCAATACTTTCATCCAAATTTTCGTCACTTTTCACTTTCTTTAGCGAGCGGTCCGAATATTTTGACCACAGCTACTTTACTTTTCACATCTTTTATGTCTTCCAATAATTTCTCCAAACGATGCATTTTCTTTTCACTCTTTGGAGGTTTTGTTACTTTTGCCCGATCTCCACATTTTCTTTTTGTCCCATTACTTTTGGCCACATTTTCTTCGCTTTTCAGTATTTGTAAGTGTCCCCCTATTTTTGTCCAAACCTTGTGTCTGTGTCCTCATACTTAGTCCACATTTTGTTCTCTTTTCGCTTCCTTTCAGTTTCCAAATACTTTTCTTGACATGTTCTTTACTTTTCACTTTAGGGTGCCATCGTACTCTTGCAAAGAGTTGCAAATGTGTGACTCCTCGTCCCCTTCCTCCTCCTACTCCTCCCCTTCATCCTCCATCGGTCACACCTTCCCGCCATAACGCTCGCAATCAGATTAGCAAAATGGAGTCGCGCCGCAGAGGGCAGGGAAGTAATCTGGCGTGTCACCCGGTCCGCCGGCCGGCCCCGCTTTCCCCCGGAATTGATTTGATGTGTGCCCACCCGCTTGCTTTGGCGTGCCATCCCCTACCCTTTTTTTTTCATCCCCAAGTGTTCACACAATCCTACAGATGGGAGAATCCAATTTGAAACGAGTGCTTTGCGCATCACCTGTGCTCAGGCCACGTCCTCCTCTCTGTATTGTCTCCACCAGTGTTTGCCAACCTGCAAAGCACATATTTTAAAATAGAACAGCACACCATCATACGATCATGTCACCAAAAGTACATATGCAGGATATACTGTTAGTTTTGGTCTCTTTGACCCACATTTAGACAGATGACTTGCGCTAGGCCGAACAATAACAACATATTGTTTAGGTTATACTGCGCTGCTACGTGGCCACGGCCAAGACGTCATAAAAGTCGCAACTATTTTGGGCAGACTAGACCTCCTTCCGCATCTGGCAGAAAAATGCTCCAGTGCAATCTTCCTGGCATCCACTAAATAATTCAACTGAGAATATAAAGTTTTCTGGTTGTCACTGTTTGTATAAACTTGCGGGCGTTAAAGCTAATCAGAAGTTGAACAGAATTTCTCAATTGGTGCCATGTCCCGGATAAGTAAGGTGTACTATGTCCTAACTTCTGCTCTATGAATGGCCACAGGTGGACACACAGATTAATTGTACCTTCTGCCATCTCATGGAAGAGAATTTCCTTGTTCTGCTTAGATGGAAAAAAAAAAAATCATAATTTTCAGACCAATTCATCATTTCCTGTGGCACACCTGATGATCCCTCACGGCACAGCGGTTGGGAATCCTTGATCTCATCGCTATGGCAACACATACAAAAGGGAGAAGACGGCGGCAGCGGGATCACATCAAAGCTTTTCGTAAACAAGAAGGAGACAGAATCCTCAAAACTGTCACTTTGCTTTCTCTTATGCGTCGACTTTGCCATTAAGTTTTAATTGCACACTGACAGCCGGGTGGCGTCGCCGGGGGGGAGATAAAAGGACCCAAAGCGGAATGTTTATTTTTATGTGGCTGTTTAATGAAAAACATTGTGATAAGACGAGAGCAAGGCCAAGGTGGTTATTGGATTGCTTGGTCACAGTTTCATGAAGTATGATAACAATTAATTAAAGCTGCATCGGCTCAACCGTGATTTTAAATTGCCCAAAGTCGGGAATGTGAGTGTCAATGCTTGTTTGTCCTGAACTCATGGAGGACTGCGGTTCCTATTTTTCCAGGTTTCCGCCACCGATCCTGACCAAGATGCCGACCAGACTGCTCTGCGCTACTCCCTCCATGGCCAAGGCGCAGGCGGTGAGTTCACTATCAATGAGCGCACCGGGAGTATCTACGCCCAACGCCGTCTAGACCGGGAGGAACGTCCAGCCTGGAGGTTCCTGGTCCTGGCCACAGATGAGGGAGGGTCGGGACTCACCGGATTCGCGGACGTCCTATTGGAGGTACGCGACATCAATGACAACGCGCCTTTCTTCCCGTGCCCGGCGCTGGAAGTGGATGGCTGTTTTGTTGGCCAAGTGCCTGAAAACTCCCCCGCTGACACCTCCGTCATGGAGATGAGAGCTATGGACTTGGACGACCCCAACGAAGGCAAGAACGCAGCACTGAGCTACAGCATCGTCAAGAACGTCCGCAACGAGATCAACCTCAACCTTTTCTCCATCAACGCCACCACGGGAACCATCTATACCGTGCTGCGCTCCCTCGACCGGGAGGCGGAGGAGCGCTATCTGGTGGTTGTGGAGGCCCGGGATGGCGGGGGTTTGGCTGGGACAGGGACTGCCACCATCCTGGTTTCGGACGTTAACGACCACCCGCCCATCTTCTCCCAGAGGGTCTACACCACCCAGGTGTGTTCATCGCTCTCTCATAACATTATCCTCTAGGTTTTTCTTGGCCGAAATTGAAACATAGGTGGTACCATTATGACCGTTCATACAAGCGACTTCGAGATTTCAAGGGTTTGCTCGAAGCTAGGCGGTCGAAGATTTTATAATCAGGAAATACCCTGAGAGATTCATGAAGCCACTAATACTTGCTTTCTACTTCAGGTAACTGAGGACCTGGAGGTGAACAGCGAGGTTCTCGTGGTGTCCGCCACCGATGGAGACCAGGACGAGAATGCCGTAGTGACCTTCAGCATTGTGGGGGGTGACGATGACAGGAAGTTCTTGGTGGAGACTGACAAGGTGAACCGACGCGGCGTAATCAAGCTCAAGAAGAAAGTGGACTTTGAGAAGCCCCAGGAGAGGACTTTCAATCTTACTCTGAAGGCCGAGGATGCGGATTTCTTCAGCCTGGCGTACTGTCTGGTGCAGGTGGAGGACGCCAATGACCACGCTCCCGTCTTCTTACCGCAGTTCTACGAGTCGCCGGCCATGTCCGAGGACGTTCCTGTGGGCACTATTGTTGCCCAGGTGATGGCTACCGATCTGGACTCTGGACAAAACGGACGGTTTTCTTACAGTATCGCCAAGGAGTCCGACCCCTACGATCAGTTCCTCGTGGACCAATCCGGTTGGGTGGTGGTGGCGAACTCTTTGGACCGGGAAAAAATCTCTCAGCATCGGGTCATGGTCCTCGCCACGGACGCCGGCAGCCCAGGCCTGACTGGCACAGCGATAGTCATGGTAACCGTGCTGGACGTCAACGACAACGGGCCGGAGTTTGAGGCCCCCTACAGGCCGGTGGTGTGGGAGAACACAGCAGCCCCGCAGGCGGTGTGGATGAACGCCAGCTCGCTGCTGCTGCACGCCACCGACCGCGATCTCTCCTCTAACGGTGGACCTTTTTCCATACGTCTTCTTCCGCTCACCGCCGACGCGGCCGACTTCAACCTGACCGACTTTCGCAACGGCAGCGCCTCCGTCACCGCCCTGCGGACATTTGACCGCGAGCGCCGAAAGGAATACCGACTCCCTATCCTCATGATCGACAGCGGCTCGCCCGCCATGAGCTCCACCAGCACGCTAACGGTGGTCATCGGAGACCGGAACGACCACCCCCACTCACCAGGGCACGCCAACTTCATAGTGTACAGTTACGAAGGTATGCACCATCAAACTTTGTCTGTTTGGATTCTCAGTCTTTCAATTAATGGTTATCTCCACAAACTGAATGGAGACTACTGGCGGCATCTTGTTGGTTGTTGAAAACATTTCACCTTAACCCTTTTCAGGGACAGCGGTTACTATCCTGTTATCAGGTTACAGGTTATCATTATTGGTGCATGAAAGGGTTAACAGAGAACTCCCGTCTTATCCATGACATTACTTTCCAGACCGGCCCACGATTGAGAGACGATATAAATAAGGTGTGACTGGCGAATGTCTTGCATAACGATCGGTCATTAGCCTGCCTGGTGGCAAACGCATTGTTAGCAGCCACTTTACCCATAGTGAGAGACAATCCTTGTGGAGGAAGTGTGAGAAATTTGCTGTAAAATTCCTCTGCCTAAGTGTCAGACATGGCATCTTTCACACTCCTTTCAAACTTCTCTGTTCAGAATTTGGGCATCGGTGACTTCAAAAAACTGTCCTTTTGTTTTAGGGACGCAAATCAACTGCTGAGTCTGGATCCAAAAAAGCTGACCTCTTATGTTGTGCCATTATTGAAATATAGGATCATTTTCTACAGTGTTTGGAACACGCTGTTCAAGACAATGCTGGCTGCCAAGATCATGACAAGAAAAATGCGTTCTAGGACCTGTTTGGTTTCAAAACTTTTTGGATTGTTTTTTTTTTTTTTGGGGTGACTTGCAGGTTCTTTTACGTTTGTCGTCAACTGATTACGACCAAGGATTTGATGATGAACTTTGTGTGACTTGTCGTCCTAACCTTTACATTCCCCCCGTGTGTCCTCGACACCATCCAAACAACCACCGCTGAGATCATAAGACCGCTTTGTCACAGTCGAGTGCTTCCGCTGTCTCGCTGCAGAACACATCACTTATTTAGTAGTTCTGACCAGCTGTCAGCCACCCTAACTTAGTCCAAAGGATGAAGCGTTTTTTTTTTTTTTTTTTTTTTTTTTTAATTTACAGACTCCCTTTAATCTTTTTCTACACATACATATATTTTTCTTTGATTCCTTTTCAAAGCTAATTTATTGTTTTGGACTTTCTCTTGTTGGAAATCAGGTATCCTGCCAACGACAGTGCTGGGCCAAATCCCATCCCCAGATCTCGACGACTGGAGCGAGAAGACGTACCAATTTGAAGGCAAACCATCCCGGTACAGTAGGGTGTTAACGATTTGAGTGTACCAGATTTTTGTTCCAAAAAATGTGATTCTCCTGCGAGAGCTGAGAAAAACAATGGTAATTGTCCTGCTCAACAATTGCTGTCAAGCTCTATAATACAGCACTTCCTACTTCTCTAACAATCGACAAGCACTTTCTCACCCAGACTCACGAATGATTACTTTTTGGAAAACTCTACGTTGACACTAGTTTCACTGAGCAACATTATTATCACAAGTGAACCGAACTAAACTAAACTAAACTGAACCTAACTGAACTAAACTAAACTAGACTGGACCGGACTGGGACCGGGACCGGGACCGAACACGAAACCAAATTAGTTTCAAGTGAACTCAAGTAACCATGACTGAAAAGACAAAGCAAGTCCCCATTTTGGTTGTAAGCGTCAGTCTTCGGTACATTTCCAGGTGTCCTTGAAAGATGAACTTGTCATCTGCACACACTGGAATTTAAATAAATACGAATTAATTTGACAAAACCAGTTTGATTATGCAACTTGAAATTTCATCACTTATATCAATCACAAGTCGACCCACAAAAAAAAAAGCTGAAGGAAAATATCTTCAAAAAGACACAGAAAGTCTGCCGTTATGGTTTCCAGCGACTATTTTTGACTCATTTTGGCAATTTCCAGGGTCCAAGACAAACCTGCCGTAAAGATTTTCCCAACGCTAATCGCTACCAAATTTGAAGCGGGGGTACGCTACAGGAAATTTATAACTCCACTCCAAATTTTCAAATGAAGTCAATGAAGTATCGTCGATTTAAACCAAAAAGGCTTTTCTCTGCACATTTGGTGATGAATGAGCATAACAAAAAAATGGGGAGCTAGAAGCAGAGAAAGTGACAGATTTAAACCAGAGTAAGGCACACAGTACAAAGGTGGGTGTACTGTGACAAAGACACGGTGACATGCAAACTTGCGGAAGAAGAGTGAGGGGGGAAAAAATAAAGAGTGGAGGAGGATATGAGCTATTTATACTTAAAAGATAGATTGAAATTTCCCCTGTCAAGCCTCTGACTTGACACCTCCAACGAGGGACCACAAGCAACAGACAATATTAGACAAGCTGCTGCTCATCCTGCTCCTTATAGAACTGGTCATATTTTCACAAATAGTGACCCAAGGGCCTTTCCTTACTCAAATGTAGATGGCGCGGACGTAAGGGGTGAGGGGCGCGGGGGGGGCTCTGAAGGATAACATTAAACACCAGAGTTATTTCAGGGGTGTCAAACTTATTTTAGTCATGGGCCACATTATAATTACCGTTTCCCTTGGAGGGCTGTGATGACTGAGTCAAAAATAACGTATTGTGATATATTGTTTACGTTACTGTCATTAAGGGTTGGTTTCAAGAAAATGCTTCCAATATCCTTCTTATTTATTGCAAATGAGAATTTTAAATTTTGCTACAGATTTTAGCGAGCAATAATGGAAGTTGACATGTTTAATTTGCTTTTGCGGGCCACATAAAATGAGGTGGTGGGCCACATCCGGCCCCCGGGCCCTGAGTTTGACACCGTGAGTAATTGAGTCATTGACATTTTTTGTTGTGGTGTCCCCACCATTGTTGTTCAATACATACTGCATCTGGGATGATTCAAAATGGCCAAACGGTTTTCCGTACTTGGCCGCTTAGTGCTAAACGCGATTGTTTACATCACGCTGTGGATCTCCATCGCAACGCAGCCGGCTGACGCGCTTTGGGCGCAGCATGTGACGTCTTTCGGGTCTAAATCCAAGGGTGGCGGCGGTGCCGTCGACACGTCGGACACGTTTTGGCTGGCTTTCAGTCGCCACTAATGAGCCCATCTGGCGCACAGTCTAAAGGGGGCGGCGTCGGAGCCGGCGTGCGTATGTTTGAACGCTACACGAGCGCGATGGCGCGCATCCAACATGGTAGCCGGGCCGCGTTGACGTCTCCGGTGCGGCAGAGCGTGAGCGGTTCCAAATCAAGATGCTCTGAGCACACGTGTTGGACCACAGAGCACATCTGCTCTCATCTTCAACTGGGCCTTTCATAATATGGACATAAATACAGGGTGAGCCAAAAGTAGGTGTGGTACACACTTAAAAAAATAAAACTCACATTCACACAAGTGTAACTGCATTTACACTTCTTTGTTGCAAATACATCAATCAAACATAGTTTAGCCTTTAGAATCATGTTTTTATTAAAAAGTAGGCTTTCAAGAAAATTGTAGGGATTCAAAGTAGGGTTTATAGCCTGGGTGAAGGTTTCAAATCATGATTTCAAGCCAGAGCGAGAAGATTTAAAATTACGGTTTCATGGTCAGTGTTTTCGTTTTAACAGGGTTTGTGTGTGTGTGTGTGTGTGTGTGTGTGTGTGAGCTGGTGGAGACTTGAAAAGAGTGCTGAGCACTTCCTTCCTTCCTTCCTTTCTGACTTTCTTTCCTTCTTCCTTCATTCAAACCTTCATTATTTCCTTCCTTCCTTCCTCCACCCTTCCTTCCTCATTCCTACTTTTTCCTTCCCCTCCTTTCCTTCCTGCCTTCCCTCCTCCCTTCCTTCTTTCTTTTCTTCCTTCGACCCTAATCTCTTCCTTCCCTTCTTCTTTCTTGCCCTCCTTTCTTCACTCTTTCCTTCCTTCATTCATTTCTTCTCTCCTTCCTCGTTCCCCTCCTTCTTCCTTTCTACCTTCCATCCTTCCGCCGTTTCTCTCCACCCTGTCTTTCGGCCCGTCTTCTCTTCTTTCAACCGTCTTCCGTCATTCCTCCCTTCCTTCTTTCTTTCCTTCCTTTCAGTCATTGCACACACCCGCCACCTCCGCTCATTCCTCAGTTCAATATGTTCATTTAAAAAGTGTAAATGGACTTTTGGCCCACCCTGTACAGTATATGTTCGACATCTTCCAACCCGATGAAACATTAGTGAGACAGTTTAGTGGAAAAAGAACTCACTTTAATGCAGAGATTTAATATTTTATACAACTACAGGATGTCTGGGCAAGGTGCCATGACATAACTCGTCCTTGCTCGTTGCCTGGGTAACGAAGGCACGAAGGAAGACTTTTATTTTTTGAAACATCACTCAGAACATAATTTCAAATATTGCTGAAAACATAATGGAGGGGAAATAGAGTGTTTCATTTGCAAGCTTGGATGACTAAACTAAATGGTGCTTTTATTGGCTAGAAAAAAACCCACTTATATAAACATGGTCCATGTATTATTTTAGACATTCATATAAAAGGCAAAAGATGACCAAAAAGGACAGAAAAAGACAAGCCACATTGTAAAAAATTCTATCCAAACATTTCAATCACTGTCTCTGCCCAGGTTGTTCAGCGTGAACCACAGTTCTGGCCAGCTGAGCATCAGGGAGGGGGTCCCTCCTGGCTCCTACCAGCTGCAGGTACGCGTATCCGATCCTGCCTGGCCAGACGTCACATCCACAGCGCAGGTGGACGTGATCGAGCTGCCGCAGGAAGCGCTGCGGAACGCCGCCTCCCTCCGACTACGCAGTAAGAGCACAGCCGGGAAAGCTTGGGCTTTCTTGTTGGAAGGGTTGTTGGGCAGTTAGTTCAGTACAGGAGTTCGTCTCTTGGTCAGTTAGTTGACGGGTTTCTACGTCGGTCAATGGTTCGTCGGCTACTTGGTTGGTTAGTTGGTCAGTCAGGTATTTAGTTATTCAGTCAGCCAAGGAGTCAGACAGTTGATCGGTTAGTTCATTCCTTTATTTAGTCTATTGGTCCATTAGTTGGTCAGTTGGTCCATTGGATAGATATTTACCATATTTTCCTCACTTCAGCATTCAATTTTCTCAAAAGCCGACAGTGCGCCTTATAATCCGGTGCGGCTTATACATGGATCAATATTCTGATTTGGTGGACATCGTATTTTAAATGTTCTGTGAAGCGTTTTGTTACAGCTGCAGCGGTTGTGAAAGCTCAATAGAAATAAAGCTGTATTGTATTGTATTCCCTTTAGCGTAGCTCCATCTAGTGGATGCATAACGCAACTGCAGCCACAATTGTAGCGTCTATTCTATGCACCTTATCATACGGTGTGCCCTAAATATGACAACAATTTTAAAATAGGCCCTTCATTGAAGGTGCGCCTAATACTCCGAAGCGCCTTATTGTGCGGAAAAGACGGTAGTTAGCTTGTTACTTATTCAGTCAGCCAGTAAATCATGTTTTTCGATCAGTTAGTTCGTCACACAGCAATTTAGTCAGAAAGTGGGTCATTTAGTCCATTCGTTACTCAGTCAATCAGTCAGTCAGTTGTTCGTATGCTCGTCAGCTACAAGCCAGTTTGTTGAGTCGTTGGTATCTCGGTTGTTTGGCCGGTTGGTCAGTCGGTCGATCAGTTAGTTAGTGAACAGATGGAATCCAATCCACCATACTAGTCAGACAGGGTCCACTTAAAAGTGCTTCTTTCAAAAGTTGCTCAATGCTGTCTGAGAGAGCGTTCTCTCTTTGTTCTCCTCACAGATATGACGGTAGAAGAGTTGTTCTTGTCCAGAGGCGGCGAGGAGATCCGCTTCTCCCATTTAGGTCGGATGCTGGCCGATCTCTTCCAGACGAGCCCGGAGAAGGTCCACGTCTTCTCCGTGGAAGACGCCGGCCCAGAGCGGGAGAGGGAGCTGAGCGTGTGGTTCGCCGCGCATGGCTCGCCGTATTACAAGGCCGAGAAACTGCATGGTTTCGTGGCGGCCAATAAAGCAAAGGTGACCTCCACCAAGTCAACAATCAACACCCCTACTTTTAATCACATGCGGTTTTATACACATTTTACATTTCGCTTTAGGTCACTACAAACTGTCTTGTCAAACAACAACATTTGTTTTTAACCCCAAAAGTTACTGACTTGACTTGGCCAGTTACTATTAAATTAGAGTCGTTGCTGATTCACCTGGTCAGTTAGTTCGCCGCTCGGCCGTTGTTGATTGTTTATAAAAGTCACTCAGTTATTTGGTCGGTTGGTCATGTAGTTGGTTAGTCAGTGGGTTAGTTGGTCATCCGGTCAGTTGATCAGCCAGTCGATTATAGTAGTTCGCTGGTCGATCGGTTAGTCAGCCAGTTAGTTGGTAAGGAAATTATGTGAGTTTTGCTCGTCACTTTGTTGTTTGGTCAGTTAGTTTGTAAGCTCTGCTTTTATTTTTAATTAAGGTAGCGTGATAAAGTAGTTGGTCAGTTACTTTTTGACTTCAGCGAGTTATTTTGTCAATCATTCAGTTAGTTACAAAAGTTAGTCTGTTAGTTGGTAAATAAGTTCATCCCCGAGAGGTAGTTAGATGGTCACTCATTTAGTTCCAGGAGGTAGTTGGTTAGTCGGTCAGTCAGTTTGTGAGCTAACGCTGAACGTAAGACAGAAGCAGTTCAAGATTTGTTTGCACATGTGCACTTCATACACTGTCAAGCATTGAACACATTGCGGGTCAATACTGTACAGCAGTTTCACACTCAACCGTGTGTCACTAAGTGGATGTCCATGTCTCACACACACACGCACACACACACACAGACGAACACACGAACACACATGTACATGAATGCTTAAGATGCTTTAAAAGCCTGAGAGCAGCTGCTTGCTTGACCCCAACTCAATGTGCTGAAAGTCAGTCATCCATGTACACACACTCACACTAAACGGTCACTCAGCAGATCACAGACCTCCACCAAAGTCAAACCAAGTGGGTTCACAGCAAATTGTACAAATTGCGAGACACAGATTAGATTTATAACCAACCCGAAATCTTAAAGCGCACTCGTAAATCCTAACTTCAGCAACCATACCCTGATCCCTTGAATCTAACCCTGATATTATTTTGATGCTTTAATCCTAACCCAAATTAAATCTTAGCCCCAAAACCGAGCCCTAACCCCCTAAAATATATCCCGAAACCCGAGTCCTTGAATTGTATTCAGACCTCATTGTGATCACATACAGCCTTTTGCCAAAAAATTACAAATAAATAGAAATGCAAACTTCCTCAGGATTGTCTCGGTGGTCAATTTGGGTGAATGAGGTTTAACTTTTAAGTGTTGTCTACATTTAGGTTTGGATTGTTAGTATGACATCAAGTACACATTTTTTATTTTTTTCGTGTTGTCTTTTTCAGCTGGAAGCCATGCTGGGCGTGTCCATCTCCCAGGTGGGCGTGGACGACTGCCCCCACGCCGACTGCGCTCAATCCGGAGGTTGCTCCACTCAAGTGTCCTTCGGTCAGACCCCGACGGCCCTCAGCAGGGGCAACGTGTCTTTGGTTTCCCTGCCGGCCAAGACCGCGGCGCGGTGTGGTTGCCGCGGACGCGAGGCCGTGCACCTGCCTTGCTCGTCATACCCAAACAACCCCTGCCTCAACGGGGGCACCTGCCAAGATAGTCCGCTGGGCTACAGGTGAGCCACGCAAGCCTCTGTGGCGGTCTCCAAATTTACGCGGTGTGTTTTGTTGTCAAACATCACATGGCACATCCAAGTTTGACTACAACCTGTAGTTGGTCAGCTCTCTGGTCAAGTGGTCAGCCGGTTGTTAGTTTTTAGGGGTGGGGGGGGGGGGTCGCAGTCATAAAATATAATAATAATAATAATAAAAATTAGGAAAGGAAGAAGAAAAACGATGGCTGTATCAAATTTTGACACAAATATATTTCCTCACCCCAGATGCAAGTGTCCGCCCATGTTCGACGGGCCCGAGTGTCAGCAGACCAAGCACAGCTTCGGTGGCGGGGGCTACGCTTGGTTCCCCGCCTTGGCGCCGTGCTTCCGGAGCCACATTTCCGTGGAGTTCCTGACCGAGGCGGCCGACGGGCTGTTGCTCTACAATGGACCACTAGGACGCACCGCGCAACCGGGAGAGTCCCAAGATTTCATTTCTATCGGTGAGTCAGTAGATTGATTAGGGCGAAGGGAAACGAGTGAATGATAGATGATGGAGGTTCAAGTCAAGATTTGAACGTCGCCTCGTTTAATTTCCTCTCCCTCGCTTCCCTGCCCAAAGAAAAGCCCCCAGGTTACTCACGTGCATGCACGGCACTGCCAAGACAGCTGCATTGCTAGCATGACTTGATCATGATGGAGTGTTGGCAAAAACGAAATGTTACCGGTTTGATGTTGTAATTTTTTTAATTTATGCTCAATCAGTTAAACAGGGATGAGAATTTTCTGCTAACCAAGTGCAAATCCATTGAGAGATTTTGTGTGTGAGTTAAGGGGGGGTGGGGGGGTGGTCTTGATATTGCGGTCAAGTGGCGTGAGAGGGGAAAAAAATGACCTGCGCGATGAGCAGATTGTTAAGCAATTTAAGCCTAAGGTGCTGTTAAAACATTTATGAGTCCTCCTGCTGCTACCGCTGGATGTGCGCTAATGTTAGCATTAGCTGACACTAAATTGCCCTGGCACATAATATCATCCGTGCCTGTTTACCTCATTTAATGTCCCTTCTATCTCTTTGGCATTAGCATCATCCAAGTTCTCGTCGCCACCATCCAAACCCCCACCCACCGACGTCAATGAGTATGACTCAATTCGGTCACCGTCCTCAACCCGCCAGTTTTTCTGTGATCTCATTTTTATTGCATATATTTTCATAAATAAGGACTACCTGCCTGTAGTTTCTAAAACCTTGGATTTGTACTTATCAAACATGCTGATCCTCTTGTTCTCCGTAACAATGGGATGGGATCAATGCAGCGTGTCAGCAGACAAAGAGCATCATGGGACGTTAATGTCACCTCCCGTTGGTCCTGATGTGGCGTTATAGGATTAACCCGCCCCACCGCCGCCTCTGGCCTTTTCCCAGACACGTCTTGCATAATCTGCCGCCATTAAACTTATGTAATTATCTCGCCCGCAGGCTTGTCGTCGTTTTCCCGGCCACGGGGGGGAAATCAAATATGGCTGCCTCATTGATCACTGGAGTGCTTTTGTCGTTAAACGCGTTCGATAGCGGTGGCGGACATGAGGATGTTGAAAGCAGCACGGAAGAATTGACCGACCGCTTTCGTGCTGTTTCTTAATGGGATTCATCAGCCACAACAGCAGTTAAACACACAAGCGTCATCACTTTACAGTGCAGCTGAAAAAAGTATTCACAGCACTTCATTCACTTTGTCCAAAAATATCCAAATTCTATCCACCAAACTACATGACGACAACGTGAAATCAAATTGAATCAACATAAAAACAATATTTGCTTTGAAAAAAAAATCGAAGCAAATTCATTCCATTTTGGAATAAAGCAATGTGTGACATAACACGTGGAAAAAAATGAAGAACTCTCAAAATGTTACGTCTGGATCCTTTTAAAAAAATTTTTTTTTACATTTTTGCAAATCCATTACAGCTTTTTTTTTTTTTTTTTTTTTTTAAGAATGTAATCGAACATAATGTGACATAATGTGGACAAAGTGAAGTGTTTTGAATATGGTCCACCTGGATTTGTTTGATTGTTTTTTTCCTCAGTTTTACACACAAACCCACATTGTTATACCATGATAAGTTTTTAAGCTTGAAACTTGTTAAAATTTGTAACCAAAAAAAAAAAAAACCCAACATTTTTTTTTTTTGTCAAATTGATTAACTATCACTAAACTTCAGCAAAATTAATGCAGCAGCACATATTTCAGAACTGTGGTCATGTAATAGCACTTTCGGCCGGTGTCAAGAATGAAGCAAGCCGCTTTTCTCTTCTTCTTGGTGTCCCAATACTTCTGTCCACATGCCTTCTGTCGTTCCAAGCTTTCTGTGATGCATAGTTGATGGCTGCCCCCTAGCGTGCATTCGTATAATGACAACGTGGAATCAAGAAATGTTTTTTTTCCACGCAGAGTTGAAGAACGGCGTGCCGGTCCTGAACGTGAATCACGGCTCCGGAACTCTCACCCTGCAGCTTCCGCCTAAATCCAACGTGGCAGACCGCCGCTGGCATCGACTCGACGTCATCAGCGATGGCAAGGTTGGAAACAGGAACTTGCTCACTCCGCAACGTCGACAATAACAAATAACAAGCAGACGTGGCAAAAGCAATTCTACTTAAGTAGACAGATAGACTCTGGTAAGAGTAGAACTGATTTCTTTTTTTTTCTATTTTTAAGTACAAAAGTACTCTGAAAATATAATTTAAAAAAAAAAGTCCAAACTCTGAAATGCACTCAATTCCAAAAGTAAAAAACATATAATAAATAACACAAGCTCTGAAATGTACTCAAGTAAAAAAGTAACTACTTTGAAATGCACTTGAGTGGAGAAATAAAAATGTTTCCTATGGAATGTACCTGAATAATAAAAGTTAAAAAAAAAAAGTTACAGACTCTAAAATGTACCTCTGTACAAATGCAAAAAAGTTAATACTCTGAAACAGAAGTACAAAAGTTTAAAAAGTACAAAAGAATTCTGAAATATGCTTAAATTAAACAAAAAAGTACAAACTCTGAAATGTACTTAATTACACACAAAAATAAGTATACTCGTGTAAAAAAGTGCAGCCTCTTGAAATGTCATCAATGCATGTCATTCAGGCTGTGCAGCTGGTCCTGGATCAGTGCTCGGGGGCACCGGTGAGCGAACCGGAGGGAGTCGGTGGCGGAGACTCTCGGGAAGCGGATGAGTCCGGCTGCAGGGTGGCCGGTCAAACGCCAGGAAACGAGAGGTGACGACCGCAACACACCCGCCGACTGTTGCCATCCGTCCGGTGCTTGATCCCTTCTTCCGCTTTTTCCTCCCGTTCAGTCACCTTAACGTGTATCAGCCTCTCCAGCTGGGCGGCGTGAAGCAGACGTCTTCTCGGCTGCCGTACGCAAGTTTCAGCGGCTGCATCCGCAACCTGCTGGTGGACACTCAGGTGGGCCCGCACAGCACAAGTCAACAAATCTACAGTCAAAAGAGTTTTTTTTGTTTTTTTTAAAGCAGAATTTTTGTTCATACTATGGCCATGTGTGTGTGTGTGTGTGTGTGTGTGTGTGTGTGTGTGTGTGTGTGTGTGTGTGTGTGTGTGTGTGTGTGTCAC